ATGTCACAGTGAATGAGGCCCCAACCCTGGGCAACCCATTTCACCTCCCCAGCCCTGTCTGAGGGGGTGGACCAGAAAATCGCCCAGCTTCTTTCATTTCTGAGGTTGGAGAAATGTGCCCTGGACAACTAATGCGCACATTTTCTGCTCTATTTGACTGTGCCCCCCCATTTCATACCCCGCTCCCTACAGTTGCTCTTTGAATCCTAAGTTGAGTGAGAACGTGGAGTGTCTGCAGCCAGGGCTGGGAGGTCATCATGCCGCAGGCCGCGTAACTGCACACCCCTCTCCTCCACAGCCCTCTTGCTCTGACAGTCCCCTCCCTCTGCCTCTGCTTTGCTTCGGCCAATTTCCTAACAATGCTTTCTGCAGCGAATCCCCTGGCCTGGTGCCTGTTACTTTTGTTTCTAAATGAGTGCAGATGAGCAAATTCCCTGAACTTCCCTGGCCTGCCTTCTCAGAGACACTCCAATCCAAGTCCTCTTTTAGCCACGCTGGAGCTACAGACCTTCAGTACAGGGCTGTCCACAGAGGCCGGAGGCCCAGGACGGGCCTTTCCTCGGAGGTAGGCAGCTGGGACATTAGGCAAGACCATACCACATGTTCAGAGACTTCTGTCCCTTTGTGAATCACTTGGATCTTGAGCACATCAGAGCGACAAAGATAAATGAGTAGAAAACCAACGACCTCATCCCAAAGACCGAGACATAGTGTTCCTCTCAGGTGTTTCCAGGAAAAGACAAGTGCTCCTGGATGCCACACACTTTCTAGGACAAAGATGTCTTAGCAGGATAGGCAGGAAGAGAAGGAGAGCAGGGAGTTTTCCCTACTGCCTGCCCTGCTTGTCAGCTTTGGGCTTGGCCAGGGCCAGGCAGGGGCCCAGGGGAGCACACTGCTGCTTAGAAATAGCTGGCAACAACTCTCCTGAGTTCGGGAGGTTATTTATGAAGGAGAAGGCAAAGGAGAGAAGGGAAAAGACTTCAAACCAGACCTCATTGCCTGTTACGGGGCCCTGAATCCCACTCCAGTGGAGTGCCTCCCAACTCTGCTTTCAGATTTGCTCAACCTAGAGTCCTCGCAATGGGAGAACTGTGGAAGAGGGCAGCCTTGGAGCTGTGATGAGAAACTGGCGAGCAGACACCAGGGGACTGGCCTCTGCCCAAATCCCCCTCCCCCACAAGACTATGCTGTCAATGACAGCTAGCCCAAGGGAGCCCCAGAAGGCCACTGAACCATCCTGGGGGCCTTGGGAAGAACAGTTCCACAGTGAAGCATGATGGTTGCGTCCTCGTGGTAGGGGCATGGACAAGTCACCTGGTCCTTCTGGCCAGTTTCTGTCATCCCCAGTCAAACAGGCCATGCCCATCTGCTCTGGCCGACAACAAAGGAGGGCTTTTATTAAGATCAAATATGTGAACATTCTTTGAACGTGAGTTTGAAGTGCAGTTACTCACAGGGGCTAATCTGGAAGCCAGACCATGGTGTTGAATTGGATTAGTCATTTTAGTGCCTGAATATAGCCACCTGTAAGCTGGAACTTCCTGATGACAGCCCGTCACTTCCACCCAGACCCACCAGCTCGAAGGCCCTCAGACCTCATACTTCACCACCTCACAATGGCTGAGGCAGGCCCCTCATAGTTCCCTTCTTTGTTTAGTGTGCAGTGTAGAAATACCCAGTTAGGATGCAGTTGAAGGACCCACATTCTCCATCTTGGGAAACGACTATGTGGGAGTGGGCTGAAGCAGCCCTTACTTTGGATTCTGATTTTGATTCCAAGCTGGCACCTCTCTCCTCTCTGGGCTCCTTCAGATTGACAGTCCTGCCTTTGATAACATCATCATGTACCTTTCTCAGCTGAGGGTCTGGCTGTTGCCGGGTACACCCTTACCCCCACCTCCATCTTCAAGGGCAGCTACTGTATGTTCCTGAACGGGGCCGGAGCTGGAAGACGCAAGGAAGGGAATGGGACACAGCTAATGCTGTGTCAAGGCCCCTCTCCTAAGGGATTGTCTTTCCACTTGGAGCTGGAATTCTCTGCCTGTATTTTCCCCAGCAGCTGGGCCTCTGCAGGCTGCCCCTTGGAGCTTCCCTCCCAGGGAAAAGTAGTCTTCTGGGGCAGGGGTTTGGCTGTCAGAGCTCTGAGAGGGGCTGGGAGCCCCTCCCACTCCCTATTCTTCTTCCTTTGGGAACTCTCAGTGCTCAAAACAAGCTTTCTGAGAACCGTATTTTTCTGGGTTAAAGGGGAAAAATGCAGCATTTCCTCCAAGGGGAAAGCACTCAGCCTGCCAGCTCCAGGCACATTTCCGAGATCTTTCCTCCCACTCAGGGAGGAGGCAGCTCCTTGCAAGAGGGAGAAGAGGTGGGCGGTGGAGGGAAGATGACAAGGGAAGTCAGAAGGGAAGCACCAATTACTCCGAAACCAGGGCAGTTGGTGTATGGACATGCAGGGCCTGTTGGTGTTGGAGTGGACCTGGAGACGAGGACAGGACTGGGTCCAGAAATGTGAAGCAAATAAGAGGGTAGGAGAGCAGGGCAGCCATTCAGACTGGGGCCTGACAGGCCAGGGTCATCAAGCTGCTGTTTCACAGACTTCTGGGCCAGTGTGGGGACAAAGAACACCCCACAGACCAGGAAGGTCTTGAAGAAAGAAATCCTGCAGTTGAGCTTAGAGGAAACATACAGGGTTGTGAAAGTTAGTTTTAATAGTAAAAGCAAGAACATGCCCTTTGTTCACCCCACCCCCAGCCATCCTTTCTTAGAACATATGGGGAATTCTGGGGAATTTTCTCAGATCCTGATTGTGGGACAAACACTTTTCAGGAACCCAAGCTTCATGATATCCTTCCTGGGCAGGACAGGGATTGTGTTAAGCTCTGAGCTCCCTGGCCACTCCTCAAACCTCTCTCTGGAGCCAAGAGCCCAGCCAGCTTCTCCAACATGCCTCTCGACAGAGCTACTACTGAAAAGCCATGGCACAGATCCCATTCCCCGGCCAGTCGCTCCTCCTCAGAATAACAACATGGCTGCCAAGTGTCAGGCAACAGGTGGAAGAATGAGGGGGAACAGGGGCACAGCAGATGAGGCTGGAGGAGGGGCAAATGCTGCCCCATCAGGCCTGGACTGGCTCTGCTGGTCCCTGAGAACTTCACAGACCTTGTCCCTACCCTCAAGGGTCCCTGCAGAAGAACTACTGTCAGGGCCCACCTCATCTCTGTGGCGCCACTTCTCTCAACAGCATCTGACTCACGGTGGTGAGTTGATTGCATGAATTGCCCTGATTTTTCACCCTCTCTATATCCATGCCCTTTGCCATGTGACCTAGAAGTTCCTCTCACTATGGAGGTGCAGTCTATTTCTTCATTCCTTGAACGCATTTCTTCATCTCTTGGCAGTTCCAAACCTAGGCTGTACAAGGCCTTATGCCTAGTGCTCTTGCCCTCCTCCATCATCTTGTGAAGGGCCTATCAGGCTAGCGCACTGGTCCCAGGAGGAGGATGAGAGCCACATGGAGCAGACTCCAGTCACCTCACCATCCAAGCCAAGGCCATCCTAAATTAGCCAACCCCTCTACATGTGAACAAATCCAGCTGAGACCAGAAGAATTGCCTCGTCAAGCCCAGCCAAGATCGGCAGCTCTGCCAAGCTGACCACTTGAGGCGTGGAGGCAATAACTACTTATTGCGGTATGCCACTGAGGTTTTGTGGTTGTTTGTCATGCAGCATTATTATGGCAATAGATAGCAGATACACTTAGAGAGAAAACTGGGGGACCCACAACCCCAGGCTGAGCTCTCTTAGCTCTCCTGCCCATGTGACCCATTAATCTCTCAGCTTCAGGGCAAAGTTTTTATCCTCATATCCACCTCTGCTGTGAACTCATCCCACATCTCCTGATTTTTGTCCATGGAGAGGGTGAAAGAGCCTTGCTCGAAGCTTGGAATATACTTCCTCTTACCTGTTGTCCTACCCTGAGCCTCCCCTGTGATCAGCTCCTCTCGGGTTCCCCTACTCTGCTGCCCTGAATCCATCACAGTGTCACCCCTCCCCTTTTAGCCCCTTCTGCATCCCACCTAGAGGAAAGTGGTTCAGAATCCTCATCAGCTTCAACACCCACTCCCAGGGCCCCATCCCTGGGTCATTGCCTTTTTCTCTGGAAAACACTTACATGGAACAATAGTTCATCTACAACACAACTCTTCTGGCTTCAGCTCAGCTGGATATTTTGCTAAAATCACAATAACTTTTTTTTGGCTGGAGGCAATTGATTCAAAATGCGCTGTGAAAGCAGCTCCATTGTATCTTAGAAGCACTGGCCCTAGCAGTCTCCAAGGAAGAGATGTTGAGGTAAGCGTGGCTGGGAAGGGGTAAAACCCACTTTCTATCACGTGGCTTCCTCTAATATGCACTCACAAGGTGACATACGTAGAGAAGGATGAATTATTATTATTGTTGTTGTCTTTATTGCCATTATTCCCCTAATAGGAAAGATCCTGGTCATCAAAGGGTCCCAAAGTCAGGAAGCAGAAGGGTGAAGCACAAGGTAAACATCTCTAGTTTATTTATTCATTTTTTAGAATTCTTAATGTGCCTAAAACTGTGCTTTGCACAAAGCTCAAAGTCTTCTCTGAATGAATGCTGCACAAACAAGAGTAGAGTCATGCGTGGGACTATTTATAGGCTTTTGCTTGAGTCGGATCATATTTCCCTGCTCTTTGAGGGCAGCGTTCATTGCATCCTTCCCCTAGCAAGCCCTGTCATGGAGCTCTGCCAGTGAGCCAGCTGTCTCCAGGGTCACACACGTGAACAGCAAAGGGGCACAGCTGATGGGTCAGAAGAAAGCAGCCTCCTTTCTCTGGTTGCTGCCCAGCTGCTCAGAGCATGCAGAGGGCACCCCCCAGCATAGCTTTAGAAACACTAATTGCATTAGTGTGTTTTTCTGGACATGGCCTCTGCAAAGATCACTAACACCTCCACAAATGAATGAATGACTAAATGAATGAGTTCTAACTTCTTCATCTCCTTTATTCAAGTTTACTACAGACATTCACCTCTCTTAAAACAAAAATGACAGTGACCCACCCCAGTAACACATGTGCCTTTTAATCTGCTTATTTTGGAAGCTTCATATTTATCTCCTAGAGCCATCAACATTTACCGAAAAAGAATGGTCAGCTCTCCAAGGTGCCCACCCCAAATTACCTACCCCATTCCACTGATGCCACAGAGGGCCCCAACAAATCTCCTTCGGGAGAAAATTTTTAGGAAGTGTGCAAAGAATTCAGGGTTGTCCACACAAACTTGCAAAAGTACACTGCGTAGACAACCTGCAGCTATAAAAATATACACATACAAAAGGACAGCTACAAAATCAGGGGGCCCATTTTCTTAGATTTGCATTATAAAAAGTAGGGACTTCTCATTAAAGGTCAGCTTTAGGGGGGCAGGATTATGATTACGATTCTACGTCTAGTCTCCCCTCATCCTTATTTTCATGAAATTGTCAGAGCACATAGAACCAGCCAGTGAAGAGTGGAAGGGGTTAATCCTAATAATTCCTGGGCCAAGGTGGGAAATCCAAGGTTCGAGGTCACACAGTCATTCCGCTGTCAGTAAGCGTGTCATGAGTCAGGGAAGGAGAGAAATATTTTAATGCTGCCCTTTGTGTCTCTCTTTTTTTCTTTCTTTTTTTATGCACTATGAATCACAACATAGTCATTGAGCTGCAGCAGACAGGCTCTGGAATTTGCATTGATGTGTGATCTCTGGCAGCCACTACACATTCAATGGACAAAGTCCGATGCTTGCTACACAGAGTATTCCGTTGGGTTTGGCCCACAGAGTGTCAGCAGGAAAGGCCACACGGGACTCCTATCTTGGTTCTAGTTTCTCATCAGGGTGTACTTTCTCCTTGATGAGAGGAAACACACCTGGTCCCTGTGCCTCTGTGTATGGCATCAGGCAGGGTCTTGGGGCCCCTGGGATTCTCAGTATAGAAGGCTCTGTCCCTTGGGCAAGGCCAGCTGGTGTTACTTGGCTCCACAAGTGTTGATGTTTTTCCCATCCACGGCGTCTTCCACGAGGGCAATGTGGTAATCGGTGGACAGGGTGAAATGAGAGATGCAGCCCACGAGGCCTCGCATGTACTGCCTGTTAGTGTGCAGAGCAATTTCCTTCATTCCACCTGCGGGGAAGCAAGGGGGAGATGCGGTGAGCCAAAGGGAAAATGTCTCTTTAGGACGCTTGGATGTCTACTGACCAAGGTGTCCCTTGGCTGACAGCATAAGTGAGGGCTGTGTGTCCCCCAAACTGCTCAGCACATCGCATTTGCCTAAACTATAATTATCCCTGAAGGAAGAGGTTGACTTGGATCGATTTGATACACAACCAGAGGCTATAAATCCTCACCTCATGTATGTGATTTCTGACCCAATCGACCACTTCAAACCACATAGTATCTGGTAAATTTTGAAATGTTGTATAATGTCAACAAAATGTATATGTTGTTAGAGGCAATGCCATCTTAAACCAAAAGGAATACACTGATGTGGAATGCTTTCAATTAAGTTAACTTTTAGATGATAACATATGGATAGAGATATCTTTCTATGTTTATGTGTCTGCACTAGCAGGTTCTAAGCTATTTCCAGAAATAGCACTCATTCTAATTCTGAGGGGGGCCAGAAAGACGGATCCTCCTTCCTCAGAGAGAATTCATGGAGCTATATTTAGCAAGTTCCTGTTCTATAAACAAGAAAAGCATGGTTTTCCTGGTGGATCAGTCCAAAGCACAAAAGCATCTAAGTGCTTCCTGCCCCCTCAACCATGAGTCAGAAGTTCAGCAGATGAAAGAATGGAGTATCTGGAGAGCTTCCTGATTTCCAAGTATTTGACTGCTCCAGTGAAGTGCACAGCTTTGGGGAGCCCCAGAGTGACAAATGGAGGACTAACAAGAAAAAGCACTGCAGAACTTAGATCTGGTCAAAGGTCGCTTACCCACGTACAGGGCTCCATTGATGTTGAGCTGCCTCATCATGCCAGGTGATCTGCCTGTTCTGGCCCCATAGTCATCCACAGTTATCTTTCCTGATTGGCCATCCCTGTAAAAACCCACCACCATTTTTAGAGCTTCATTCGATTGTTCACTCATTTCAATAAAACCGTATTAAATATCTACTATGCACCAGGTACTATGCTAAATGATGGAGCTGCAAAAATGAAAAAAAAAAAAAAAAAAACCCAGAAAAGCAAATGCCTGGCCCTCAGGAGCTTATGGTCTACTGAGGCAGACAACCAAACTGCAAATGACAACACCGTGTCACCAGGCTATGGTAGGAGAAGGCCAGAGTGCTGTGGAATTACACAGGAGGAGGGGAGAGGGTCAGGGAAAGCTTCTCAAAGGAGATTCTGTCTGAGATGTGTTTTGAACGCTGAGTAGGTCAAGTGAAGAAGGCCAATGCAAACAGGAAGTGGCAACGGCAAAGAGAGAAACGACAAGAGGGTTGGTACAGACTGAGTATAGAGAATTCTGGAGGTGGCAGTAGGGTGATGAAAGATGAAGCCAGAAGCAGATGGTGAAGGGCATAAGGAGCTTAGATAGAATTTATCCTGAAGCTAAGAGGAAACCAGAGAAGAACTTTAAGGGGAGGAGTGGTGGTGACATGGACACAGTGTGAATTTGGATGTTATTCCAGGCACAACGGGAAGCCAATGAAGCAGTTTTTGTAGGTAGAGGACTACTCTAGGGGAGAACAAAGAATGGCTTAGAAGTTTCTAAAGGACCCACTCAGAGAGCAGTGGAGTGGAGGTCTTCATCTGTGGCAAGGGCTTTGCAATTTTCTAAGATGATTTCCAGAACTATCCAGCCCATGAACCCTCTTCAGAAAAGCACATTTGCTTCTATAGCTACGGGGTGTATTCCAACCCACACCATACTTCTTTTTGAGTTTTTTATTGGTCTTTTAATGTTCCTTTTTTATAGCAAACAATTCTTGTTTCTTGGGTTAATAACCTCTCTTATCTCTCTGACGATATTAGTGTTTTTTTTTTTAAAGATTTTTTTATTTTTTCCTTTTTCTCCCCAAAGCCCCCCGGTACATAGTTGTGTATTCTTCATTGTGGGTTCCTCTAGTTGTGGCATGTGGGACGCTGCCTCAGCGTGGTCTGATGAGCAGTGCCATGTCCGCGCCCAGGATTCGAACCGACGAAACACTGGGCCGCCTGCAGCGGAGCGCGCGAACTTAACCACTCGGCCACGGGGCCAGCCCCGATATTAGTGTTTTTTAAATCATTTTTTCATTCATAGTTTCTGTTTCCTCCAAGTTCCTCTGTTGTGTCTGTTTGTTCTGATACCCATCTTTTATGTTGAAGACTTTTTTCGAAAGTCTAGTGATCCCTGAAGGCCACTTCATAGTTAAGTGCTGAGCACTAAATCTGTGTCAGGAGAGGTTTTGTTGACTGTGGCTTCACAATGCCATGATCTGGCTCAATCACTTCCTTGGGGACACCTGAATTTTCTGCTCTCCTTACTGTGGGGTATAGGCATGGCTGCCATCATTCCGGAATCTCAATGGAGGAAGAACTATGGGGTTTAATAGTCAACATATGAACTTTCACATAGTCCCCAGCATTAACTTATACAGTATTTATACAATAGTCCAGTATTTAGATATACTTAGTGTCTCCTAGTCCAGAAATCCTTATTTTACATACTCCAGATAATTGACTTTCCGTGGGTAGGGAGAGGGCAGTGTGCCAGCTGTATGAAGTAGAGAAGGAGCTTGGGTTCTAATTCCTCAAGTAAATTTTTTAAACTAATTTTCCTGCTTTTAGGCCCTTGTTCACCTTCCAGAGGTTTCTGGCTCTACCTCTTTTGGGGGTGGGGGGTACAATGATATAAATCTGGTTGCCCAGGCCCAACTTCTTGATAGCAACTCTTCTAGAAACTCGCTTTGGAAGTATTTCTCCTGTTCTGTCCTCACCCTCAAGAGCACACACTGCCTCCCAATTTTGGATGAGCTGTTTTTAGAATCTCACACCTGAATGCTGTGATGGCCAATGCCCCCAATAGCTTGCCTTGTCTGCCCTGTTTTTTTCCCCATTACTCTAAAAGATTCCATTTTTTACCACTTTTATTTCTTCAATTCTAAGAATTTTCCATTTTTTATATCTCTGAAATGAGGATATAACTTATAATCAATGGCATCTTAGATGTGAAAAGAACGTGATATCACTTTCTAACGTAGTAAGTAGTGTGCTTCTTCATTGTTCTTTACTTATTGTCTATGGCCTCCCATTAGAATACAAGACCATCAAGTCAAGGATGTTGGTGTTATTCAATGATGTATCTCATGTGTCTGGAACAGTATATAGCTCATAGTAGCAGATGAATGAACAAGAAAATTTGTGGAACTTCAACATCCTCATCTGAAATGGGAATAAACTACGTCCATTTTCCAAGGCTATTGTGGAGATCAGAGACCATGCATGCAAAGCTCAGAGCACGGTACCTGACACATACCTGCTCTATAAAGAGTGGTAGAGGAGTGTGTTATTATTGTTATCAATGTCATCATCATTCTCATCCGCAAAATGAAGATTATAGAACTTAAGTTGCTGTGCATATTAACTGAGATAAAGTATGTGAAGTTCCTGGCATCCTTAAGAGGCTTAATAGATGAGGATTTGCTTTGTCTTTTCTGCTAGGATTAATGCCTGCAAGACCATGATTACTCACAGCAAGGCAGTATACAAAGTAGGGCTCCCCTTGGAGATTTCCTGCTTCATTGATTCCCCTCTCTCTGACCTTGGAGCCTGCTGGAGAGAATTAAGGTATCCATCCAACCCTTCTTGCTGTAGTTGATATCCATGGCCTTGACTCAGTTCCTGCATAGATCTGATGAACCATCCCTTTTAGGCCTATCTGCTTCTCTGAAACACAATTCACAATATCTGCTTGAATCCTCCCGACTATCCAGTTCCTGGTTTCAGTTCCTTCTGTTCAGCCCCCACCGCAACCTAGAACCACTAGGAGAGATATCAGTGACGACAACAGTAAGAGCCAAGTCTGCTAAACCATTTTTATGGTGCCAACCTTGATGATCTGACATCTGAAGTGCTTCTGGTGGAACATTCCCTGTCTTTTCCCTCCAAAACATCTGAAATCCTAGCTGGGGTGGGCTGCTAGGTAATTTCCCAAGGGGTGGGAAAGAGCTTTGATCTAGAAGTCTAATCTTGGCTCTGCCCACAAACTGTTGTATACTCTTGAGAAAGTCACTTAACATCTGTTTCCTTAGATGTCTAGGAAGTGCTTAGAATCCCCACCAATGTGTAGCTCATGCACATAATCAAACCACAGCAATTTTGAGGGTTTAAAAATCATTCCACAATGTCTGAGTGTTCTAGCAAGCTTCTCTATTCAAGAAAATTGAGAACAGGTGTTCTCTGATGTTCGCAGATGGGAGTTATAAGGATCAAGTGTGGTCAAGCATTTCATATTCCTTTGGATCTTTCGGAGAGAGCCCTTTATAGATGAGTAAGACAGAGAAATGAAGAACTTAGAAGCCACATAGGCTGGGGTATCTTGGAGTTGGGTTGAACTATGAACAGTTTAACTTATATTCTAGATTATATTTGAGATCAAGCCTATAAATATTCACTATGGGAAGACCTTTCTTTTTTCAACAAATCAGAGTTGAGGCTGCATCAAAATCACTGTCTGCCTCAAGAGCTTTCTGGGCCACTTGGGCAGCTGATGGGCAGAGATCTGCCTCCGTATCCTCACACATCCTTTTGGTTATCAAAGGCAGACACAGTGGACAGGAAGGAGGGGTCCAGAAAAGCTACTCCTACCACAGCCTATATATGAGCTGAGTAGGAAGCTGACCATGGCAGCCCCAAGCCTCACTCATGTCCTCACCCACTGACTTCCTGAGAAAGGGCTATGGTAAATTCACAGGGAATCTGAACCAAAGATTCTGTTCAGCTCATCTCCTGGCACCTTCATCTAACATGGCAGGATTGACATTTCTTTATATAACTAAGTTTGACCCTGCTATTTGGTTTCTCAAAATATATTGCTAGAAATATGGACATAGGTGGTAAACCTGTAATTTTAAGGAAATGATTCACCCAAAGTTAATTCGAAGTGAAGGTAGTGACTTCTGTGAGAGGGGAGATATGTAATTGGGGTAGGGTACACACAGCTTCTAAGGTTCAGGTAATGTAATGTTAAAATAAAAAAAAGGTGGGCAGTTGCCTATATAAAGAGATTTGAAGCACTCCTCAAAGTCCATGCACCCCGAAATCATATCTCACTAGAGAGATCTAGATCTCACTAGAAAGCGAAGCCCTCTTCTAGCTTAGCCATCAAAAAGTTCTTTCTCCAGAAGGTCATTGTTGAATGAAGATTTGGGAGTTCAGCCTCTCTGGCGTGTCAGTGTTAGTGAAGGGCACAGGTGGGAGTTGGTAGCAAAATGCCCTGGATGACCCGGATCAGGAGTACTGGGAGCCAGGCAAGGCTGGGAAACAGGACAGTGGGACTAAAGGGAATTGAAGAGCATGTCCCACCTCTGCTGAGCTCTGGCTGTCTCACACTGTGTGGCAGGTACTCACCTAACAGCCTTGACTCGGTGCCACCGACCATCGTTGAAGGAGCCATTCACCATGATGGATGCCACACCACTGCCCAGGTTATAGCTAAAGGTGTCGGAGAAGGACAAGGCAGAGAACAGAGTAAAGCACTGAAGCACAGGGAGACAGTCATTCACAAATGCTGCTCATTGCAAAAGTTCTTGGAAACTCAAAATGCAGATTCCTTAACTCAAAACAAAACAATGTTATAAAACATTAGTTTTCCAGGCCAGGCCGTGAAAGATTTTTTTTTCACTTGTGGTAAAATATGCATAACATAAAATTTACTATCTTAATTACCTTTAAGCGTACAGTTCAGTAGTATTAAGGGCATTCATACTGTGTGCAAACAATCTCCAGAGCTCTTTTTATCTGGCAAAAATGAAACTCCGTACCCCTTAAACAACTCTCCATTCCCCCCACCCCCAGCCCTGGCGACCACCGTTCTACTTTCTGTCTCTGTGAATGTGAGTACTTTCTAGTTACCTCAGATAAGTAGTATCACACAGTGTGTGTCTCTTTGTGACTGGCTTATTTCAGTTAGCCTACTGGCCTCAAGGATGACTATCTTCAGGCACCATGTTCAGAAGCATCAGTACTATGGCATCAGGAAGAAGGGCTTTATCACGTGTAATGTGTTGTACTAGGTTGAATAGTGTCCCCCCAAAATTCATGTCCACCCAGAACCCCAGAATGTGGCTTTATTTGGAAATAGAGTCTTTGCAGATGTAATTAGTTAAGATGAAGTCATACTGGATCAAGGCGGCCCTAAATCCAGTATGACTGGTGTCCTTACAAAAAGAGGAAGTGTGGACACAGACACAGAGCCACGCAGGGAAGAATGCCACATGACGATGGAGGCAGAGATTGGAGGGATGCCTCCACGAGCCAAGGAACACCAAGGATTGCCAGTGACCGCCAGAACCTAGGAGGGAGGCGTAGAAGAAATTCTGCCCCAGAGGCCCCAGAAGGAACCCATCCTGCCAACATCTGCAGGATGTTGGACTCCCATCCTCCAGAACTGTGAGAGACTAAATTTCTATTGTTTTAGGCCACCCAATTTGTGTTATTTTGTTATGGCAGCCCCTGGAAATTTAATACATGTGTTTTCATTTCTTAAAAGACAAAACAAAACAGAACACTGCAGAGTAGGCTGAGCTCCAAAGAGATTAGAGGAATTTGCCTAAAATCCCAAAGCTAATGTACAGAACCTGAGCTTGGCATCTTATCGCTCCCACCAACCCCCTGCCTGCCGCCATTTTACTCTGATACCAGGTCCACTCAGTAGCTTTCTATTTTCTATTTCATTTCCAAATAGCCTGATACCCTAAGGGTATCAGAAGACATGCACATGTGTTTACCAGAGAGAAATATCCCTCTTGGTCCAGTCTTCATTCAATTATTCTAATTTAATTGAATTCAACAAATATTTAGTGAGTGACTACTCTAGGTCAGGCACTGGGCCAACAGCCTAGACCTCCCCTTCATAATGTAATAAAGCCGATGTAATCCTGCTTTTGAAGGAAAAAGTGCTCCACCCAGGACAACTCACTCCTTGTCTTGTGAGAGGACATGTCTCTCCTTTACCTCGTTGGCCAAGAAACAGGAATATCGAGGGGAAACCTGGATTACCTATCTCCTGCATGCATTCAGTTTGAGAAAACAGCAAGAGGAGAAAGCGCTTGGCTTTCCCCAGGGAAAGCACTATGGGTCCTTTCTTTAATAATGGAGGCTCAAAGAAGTCACACAGCCCATCGACATTTAACCAAAAATAGAACTTGGGTGACTCGACAAGCCATGAAACAAAGCTGTCACTCTGACCCTCAAAAATCCACTGTTTCCTAATGAATTTTCCCCTATCAAGTGTCTCCTTGTATGAAGCAGCCTGGAGGTGGAATTTTCAGATTTCATTATTTAGTGGCCAAATGCTTGTGGAAGAAATGAATGAATCTGAAGCAGGGCTGCGAGCGGGTTGGCAGAAACTTAGCTGAATTACTATGTGTGGCTTTTGTGAGAGGCAGCACGGGGGGACAGAAAGAGCATGGACACTTGGATTAGACTAACCTGCCTTGATTTCCAGTCTTGCCAATTACTAGCTTGGACAATTTGCTTCATCTCTCTGAACCTAAGTTTCCTCATCTGTGAAGCGGGGGTAATAATACCTTTCCTAAAGGATCATAGGGAATATTAAGTAGGATAACGTATGTAAAGAGCACAGTACATAGTAGGAATCAAACAAATAATCCCACCATCTTAAATATGTGCAGTACTTCACGCAGTTCAGATACAGGGTTGACAATATATCCTGAGGAACCAGTAGTAAGGAGAAAGTTGCCACCAAGAGTTAAATTTGTCAACCCACTCCAGGAAGAGTAGTCATGTGTGAGAGAAAACCAACAGGCTGTAAATATGTAACCAAAAAGGTCAGGAACACCCAGATCTCAGAATCAAGGTGACCTGGGCGTAATCACAGGGACGCCAGACTGGAACATGATTGCGATCCAGTGAATGGAAACCTTTTAAGTTGTGTTTGAACAAATGAAGGGCTTTCCTCTTCTCTTCTCCAGCCTAATAACACTTCTGTCCATGCAAAGAGTCCAAATGTGTTCAAGGGAGTCAACAGTGGATCTAGCAGACAGGAATCCAGCCATCACTGCTGGTGTGGGGAGCAACTCTGTTCGCGTCTCCATAACCTCACTTTCCAACTCCCACCCCAACTCTCTCTGATTTCAGACCTTCCAAATAACTTCCTGTTTCCTCTGATACCCTGATACTTCATCCTGGAGTATCTCTTTCTTTTATATAATAATACATGACCAAGAATACTGGTTACCTTCATTGCGAGAGGGCATGAGGGAGCCTTTTGGGGTGTGGGAAATGTTCTATGTCTTGTTCTGGGTGCTTATTACACAGGTATTTACACGTTTAAACATCTATCGAGCTCTACACCTAAGATTTGTGCACTTTATGTAAATTATGCCCCAATTAAAAAAATAAACAAAAACATATGAATGAATGAATGCGTGAATGACCAAATGAATGCATGTCTGGTTTCTCTCTCAATGTCTTGTGAATCTGGTCAGCATGAATTGGGTACCCAATCCAAGTTCACCTACTCATCTTAGCGTGCACAAAAGGCTACAAGGCTGAGCACCTAGGTGGGCCACCAGGAAATGCCATCAGGTGAGGCCTTTTGGAAGCCATTAGGCTGCCTCCAGTGGTGATACCACTTCATCAAGCCTTCCGTAAACTGTAGCACAGGGCACTATGCTAATGTCAGATCTCTCCCTTCTCTGTTGCATGAAAATGTTATCAAGGTCACATGGAAAATTAGTGGGTAAGATCATCAGTTGAATGATTTTTACAAACCTGCTCACTGGGTTTTATGCCCCACATATAATCATAAAACAAAATGAGACAAAACAAAAGACCATACTCTTGGCTGAGCACTTTGATTCCCTTTCTTCTACTCAATCTTGCACCAAAACCATAAACAATTTTTAGTTCGAGTTCCATTGCTCTTCCCTATTCTCTGGCAGAAGGGCTTTGAGCACTTCATTAGCAAAAGGATCAGCATTTAGGTGAAGGAAGAAAGTCAAGGAAGCTGAGAAAGTATTTTATTATCTTCAGTTTCCTATTATTTGTTTTGGACCTGGTTCAAACACCGAAACTTCAAAAATGGTTCAGCCACCCAACAGACCAGCCCACTCTCTAGGTTCCACTGATGTAAGCTGCCTGAGGGCAGGGCCTATGTCTTATTAAAAATAATAACTAACAATAATTATAGTTAAATTTTCTGATGCAGTATTGTGCTAACATCCTTACATATGTTATCGATCTAAGGCAGGGGGCTTTAGAACATAGAAAACACTTGACCAAGGATAATAATTTTCATAATCATCATCACTGATAACTAGATACGCCAGGCCCTGCATTAAGCACTTTACGTGAATTAACTCATACAATCCTCAAAACTAGTCCTTTCCTTTTGTGGAGAGGTCGGGTGACTTGTAGGAGATCACACGGCCATGGGAATTCACATGTCTGACCCGGAAGCCCATGCTTTTGACCACTTCCGGCCCTGTTTCCCAGTGCGTGGTTCCTGATTGTTTTCACTCCCATTCTGGCACCCTATCAGACCTTCTCCATCAGCATCTCTGGGGGTTGCCCAGCAATTTACCTCTGAAGCAAGCTTCCCCGCTGACTCTGTAGGCTGACATTTTCAAACCACTGGCCTACGCTCCAATTTCTCTCTATGCCCAGCCTCCTGCAGCGCTTCCATATATCTGTGTTGGGTGAATGGATGTGGGGCAACTGCCCAAAGGAAGCACAGAGGAGCGGCAACACTGCAGCTCCAGGCCTGGGACGGGCACAGATGTCTGCCTGGTGAGGGCTACACAGTGTATCCTTTACACAGAACACAAACAGAACTCCAGGCTAAAAAGAAAAACCTGGGGCCAATTTTCAGAAACCTGAGAAAGAAACGGTAACATAAGAAATATGTCCAGGATGGAGTGGAGTTGTTAGAAGGGCATCCAGGGGGTGTGGGAGGATGGGGAGTGTTTGGGGGGGCTGGCCAGGCCAGGCGTGGGAGCCGGTGGGAGCAGAAGGGCGGCCCTGAGCAGATCGAGTTTCCCTGTCCGGCAGGGGCTGGTGGTGAATAGATTTTAGCTGGCTGTTTAGGGGGGAAGTTGGGTCTTCCACCCACGGCTGAGCTACTGTTTCAGTTCCCTTTTCTGGGCACAATCAAGTACTTGAGGCCTTGGCGAGGTTAACCACAGGAAAACCACAAGAAAATGGCTTTGCGGCAGCCAGCTTGAAACTGGGGTGTGAAGAGCTCTGCGTTTGACCTCGGGGCCGGGGGGGAAAGGGGTGGAGAGGATGAGAGCTGCTCTCAGGGCCAGCATCCAGCTTTCAACCACATAGGTCTCTCAAAAATCCCCCAGCAACGAGAGGACCGCATCCCTCAACATGCTCTGCTATTCAGGGGCAAGTGTGATGTTGGATAAGTGACGTTTCCTCTCAAAATGCCTTTTATGCAAAGTGAAAAGACTTACATTACCCTGCTCTGGCTGTCAGTAATCCCGGTGCATGACCCACAGAAGCCCCAGAATTAAGTCTTTATCTCCTGCATAGTTCAGTGATCTCGCCTATGTCTACTCCACTTTCAATTAATCCCACATCATTGAGTGAACACTTGTGCTAGTCACCAGAGGAGGGACTGAAGAAGGAAAAGCCAGAGAAATTCCTGCCCCCACAGGGCAGATGGTCTAGAGACCGAGTAAGGTTTTCAAACCTCAGCATCAGAATCACCTGGAGAAACGGTTAAAACAAGATGTCTGGGCCCACCCCTCATTCTTCTGGCTCAGTAGGTCAGGGATGGGCCTGAGAATTTGCATTTCTAACAAGTTCCCAGGTACGCTGATGCTGCTGGTCCAGGGACCACACTTTGAGAACCACCGATCTAGATGAGTTATTTCTAACCTTGTTGAGGATGTGTCATCACAATCTCTAGAGGAGCTTTTTCATATTACACAAGCCAGTCCCTGTCCTGTGGGAACCTCCCTCCCATCCATTCTGGTGGGGAGAAGTTGTCCAGGTAATCCTTTAGTTACTTCATAGCAACTCACGGGACAAATTTGAGAACAGTCTAAATTCACGTAAAAGAGGTAAGAACTTCCAGGACTGCCTTATCAGTATCACCCAAGAAGCATTTACAAAAATCCAAATGTCATGCTGATCAACTGAGACATGAATCTTCTTTTGTTCTTCTTTGCAGTGGGAGATTGGAAAGCAGGCATTCACCTTCCCAAGGCTGCACAGCTAACAGGCAGCAGAGTCAGAAGTCAAAGCCAGGAGATTAGATCTTTAGATCTGCCTGAGCTGGCGAGCACTGAGCTGAGTACTCACGTCCGTGCTTGGCAGCATCCAAGTCCTCTTTCTACTACTTCCTAATTTGCAAGTGGGGAGCACATGACAGTAAAACCCTAGAACATAGGTCACAAAATTGTTCTATAAAGGGCCAGATAATAAATATTTTAGGCTTGGCCATACAGCCCCTGTTGAATCTACTCAAGTGTGCCACGGCAGCATGAAAGCAGACATGGACAACACATCAATGAATGAGGATGGCAGTATTCCAATGAAACTTTACCTAGAAAAATGGGTGGTGGGCCAGATTTGGCCCTCAGGCTGTAGTCTGCTGATTGCTGCTCTAGAAGATGGATGTTGGAAAGACAAGGAGGCCCAAATAAATCTGGAGCATCAGGCAACAGTCAGTTCCAGTAGACTGTGTCCTGGCTCACTTCTTTTGCATCACTCTCATTTGGCATGATCTGCACTGTCTGAGAAAAATCACAAGGTCATGCTGAAGGCAGCTGGCGACGGGGTTACCTGAACACCAGGGCTCCATCCCGAAGGCCCAAGGAAATGAAGTCACTGTTGGGTCTCATGGGGCTGTCTCCCCTCCACATCAACAGGCCGTCTTTGGCAGTTGTCTTAAACCTCATGAATGCATTTGATCTTGATCCTGACACCCTGAAGAAATACACAAACAATTGCACCAAATCAACCAGTCTCCACAAACATCCATTTCTGAGTAATCTCAGTTTTGTCTGCCAGCCCTGAGAAGCCAGGTCTAAGGATAATCTGGCATTTCTGACACTTATTACCAGATTAGAAATGCCATCACCACCACGTGTCTAAAAGTTTGGACTATTCATTCTGCAGCAGCCCTCAAGTGTGGGGACACCCCACAAGAGAGCACTTGCTGAGGCAGATTAGCCAGACTCTGGCTAATGCCATGGTTCCAGGCTGTACCCCCAGTGCACACCTCAGTTTCCCCTCTTTCCTGTCCTACCACTCCAGGGTCCTGGAGAAAGTATTCCTCACTCCCCCAGAGAAAGTAAGTTTCTTAACTGCCAAGAAGTTCGAGTTGGCAGCTGCTGTGGGCTATGATCATGGTTGCGGTTGGCCAGCTCTAGCAGTGACCATCCTTGAGGGGAAAGGAGGAGTGACTGGACAGTGGGCAGAGTGTCAGCCAAGGAAGGTGGCTTGATGGGATAACGGTCTTGAGAGGTGTTGGGACAGAGGCAGGGTGGAGAGGAACAGGAAGCTGAGAGGAAAGGAGGGGTGCTCACGCAGGTCAGGTGCCAGCCCTACAGCCATGGCTGGGTATAGGACCACATACGTATGTGTTCTTATCAATTCTTGAGAATAGGCTAATTCAGAAATCCAGTCTCATGAAAGTGACCAGTGTTTCATCTGATCTGACGTAGACGGAACAGCAAGCATGAGGTTCTTAGATAAAAGGTGAGAATAGAGTAAACATAATTTAATACTGCTACTAATATGGCACTACTGGAAAAGTCTCTTTCCATTCTCATAGAGTGCATTCAGGAGAGGGGGACTTTCTTCCCGGCTTCTCAGAGCCTGATCTGGACAGGAAAAGACCAAAGTTGCCTTCCTTATGCAGGGCTCAGAGTGGCGAGGGAGGAGCAGAGTCCATGATGGTGACCTCTCCACCAGGCCAGGTGTAGATCAGTCCGGCCGTGGCCCATTCCCTAGAGACCTGTTTTCCCCACTCTTTTGTTCCAGGTTCCTTCCTTCTACCACGTGCCTTGGATACATTGATTGGTATAAGCCAAACTTGACGGTTTCATTTCTCTTGCAGGGACTGGTTTAGGGTGGGCATGTGATCCACTATTGTCCAATCAGATAGAGGAAATCCATCAGGAGGATTCTAAGAAAGAATCCTTTCCTTTTAAAAGAGTCACATGAGGAAAAGAAAGTTTTTTCACTTCCACTGGATTATTTACTGCCCTGATTTATAGCCATTTTATGAGGGTCTTATGGGCAGCTGTCTTATAACCATGAAGGGAGTGGCCTCTGGAGAATATGCTGAGGATAACAAGGCAGAAAGATGGAAGAGACTTGGGTCTTTGACAACACAGCTGATTCTCTGAATGAATCGACCCAGGAGCCAGTCTTAGTCTGGACTGCTTATTATATGAAATAACAAATACCCTTCATGTTTAAGCCATTTTGAGCTGAGTTTGCTGTTACTTGCAGCCAAAGGTATCTAACTGAAACAGACCCTGAACTTGACTCTCACTTGCAGCTTCACACATATACATATGTACATGCACGTACACACATGCACACGAGTGCCATCCAAGTTGCTCTAGTTTGGGGCCCCACACCTCCTACTCTCACCAAACTCCTCTGTTCCCCTAAACCAGCCAGTGCCTCTCACTAAGCACCAGGGGACTGAAGACTTGGGCCTCTGACACTGTCCCTGCTTTCTAGGGACTGAAAAACGTTCTATCTTTGGGGACAAAGGGCTGAAGAAGGAGAAGACTCTCTTGGCTGGGAATCTCTTTTGCCTAAGGTCCCAAGCCAAGACAACCTAGATAAATACAACATGGGATTAGAGAAATGGAGCAAGGTCTGTCTGGGGTGCATTCAGAGTTACCAGGAACATCCCATGCTCCAAGAAAACGTCTCTCACCCACTTCTGTTCTTTGAAAAGCCACCCAAATCCACCCTAAGAACTGAGAGCCTTTAGCTAATCTGTTAAGATACCGTCAATCTGAAGAGGAAGGAAAATTCTAGAATGACTATGCTGGATGTGGGGTGGGGATTGCACATTACAAACTACAAAGAACTAGGGAAGGGAGAATAAAGAGAGAAGGGGCATACTGAAAGTGCCAAAGGTGAGCTTCACCAGGGTTGATGATTTTGGCTAAGGCCAGCCTTTCCCTTGTCATGTAAACCGGGAGCTTGGACTCCAACGCAGGGCTGGAGCTTCTGCCACCAGGGATTAAAAGCCATGGCTGTGACTTGGGCATCTCCTTGTGCCATGCTCTTGCTATGGAGCTCCTCAGTGAACTGGTCAGAGCCTGAAGAAGATAGTGGACCTTTGTTGATGAAGATGCAAAGTAGGACATGGACCTGGAGCTGTTTGTCTGGAACACCAGATCCCTTCTGCTGCTGGCTCCGGGCAGAGCTGCAGACTCTGACCACAGAACAGCGTGAAGCTAACAGCCCTGCCTGGGACTCACACTCATAACCCTGGCTTTGGAAGCATCAAGCTCTCGCTGCTTCTCAAGGCCTGAATATTGGAAACCCTGGGGCTGGGCACGCTCCTCTCTCCAGGCCCTTTGACCAGAAGGGCTTGGGTTGTTTGTAATAGAGTTATTTGAAGGCCTGCATTTTTCAAGTTTTGTTTGTTTTTTGTTTTGTTCTAGTTTCTATGTTTATTTTGTGTGGTTTTTTTTCCCCCTGAGGCCATAGCTAAACTGTCTTCTTTGAGAATTATCTTCTGGCTTGTAAGATAAGGAAAAGCCCCAGGAAAGATATTGAGAAATCTACTCCCATAGATCTAAGGAAGGTGCCTGTTGAAATTTATTACCTCTTGAGGATATCTGGATTGTCATATATCAGGTAACTGCGGCCGATAAACTGTGGAATCTCGATGGCTTCTGTGATGGCTGAGACAGAACAGAAAATGGAAGTTAAGTGATATGTGAGTCTCTTGACCCTTGCACTCAACCACATGGCAGGAAAATACAAAGAAAGCCAGCTCCTGGAAATAGGACATTTAACAACTTGTCAGCCCCTTCCTCTTGGCTGCACACGCACTCGTCCAGGTTCAGAGCTGCCTGGCCTGATGGCCTGAAGTTGGCATCTCCCTGGTGTCCCCTCCCTGAGGAATAGCCATCACTGTTATTGGCCTCAGCACCACTGAGAAGGCCTTGCAACATGCGGAAACATGAACTGTGCCCAATTATTCTTGGAAGCCAAAGAGCAGGTCTTGGCCCATCTGGGGAGCAGCTGGGGATAACCCCAGATGTTCTCGAAGGGAGGCAGAGAAAACAATCCCCAACAAAGCCCACCGGGATTTCTTTATTCAAAGCCAGTCTTCCCCAGGACCCCCCCGCCAACCGTGACCTCAAGAGACTGGGGAAGTAGGAGACGAAGCTTTGACTTTTGTTTTTTACAAATCACCTTTCAGTGTTATACTTCACAAAATCTCCACCACAACCTCATGAAACAGCAGGAAGTATAGGGAAGGGGAGGGTTGGTTACTCCCATTTTACGGAAGAGGAAAATGCACAGAAATCTTCAAGGACTTGCCCAAGATCATATAGCTAAGACAGCAACAGACCATGAACCAGATTGATTCTCCTTAATTCTGGCCCTCAGCCCACTTTTTACTTTCCAATATTTTAGAAAGGTGTCTCCTCCTTCCCAATTTCTCATCATTTTTTTTCCTGTGGAATCACCCTTTTTCACACAATTAGCAAAAGACTAGGTTAAGTAGCTGCGTTTGGCATCACAAATTAGGGATAATTTAGGGAATTTCTACTAAACAGATAACAGCAATCTCTCTCTCCTCCTAGAAAGGCACAGAAATGGCAGTTTAAAGAAATTAAGGTAGACTGAATTTCATTGTAAAAGAAATGTGCAAAATGAGAGTAAATAAGCCAGCTTATAAAATGAGTTCTAGTTTCACAAAAACATGTGGTTGCTGCAAAGACAGTGAACTAAGGACTCTACACCCAGGAGAGAAAATGTGTAATTATTGGACCCTATGAACAACAGGAGAGTTTAAACTGAACTTCTAAACATTAAAAAAAGAGAGAAAGAGAGAAAGAGAAAGATAACAGCAAACCCCAAAACCAAAAGACACTGGGCTCCCAAGTATAAGTTCCTATGTTGGCAGGTCACCCACGGCATGTTCCTAAAATCTTCTCATAAAAAAGAAAAAGAAAAAAGAAAGGAAAGAAGAAAACAAGAAAAGCAAAGGAAGAAAAAGAAAATTTTAAAAGATCATTAAAGTGGGTGGGAAGAAGAGGGGATAAAGAGGAAGGAAAGTCAAGAGAAGAAACGAGTAGGATGCAAAAGGGGAAGAGCTGAGTAGAAAGACAAGTGGGAAGAGAGGAAAAGAAACACTACGGAAGAGAAGGAAGAGAAGGCATGAACGGAAAGGAGAGCCAGGTGGACAGGCAGCGCTGAGCAGGGAAAGGAGAGGGGGATGGAAGACACAAGGCAGGGAGAGAATGGACCCAGGGGACTAGAAATAGAAACAAGAGGGAGAGAATGGAGGACGAGAAGAGAAAGAAGAGTGCAAAATGCAGGAGGTAAAAGGGAGCTCTCAGCTGGGATGGCAGGCCCCAAATTTCAGGGTACTAGTGCTGAGAAGGGAGAAGGAGGAAATATCCCACCAGAAGGAGGAGTTCTTCCCGGAGCTAAACATAACCAAGGCGCCCCTGCTGGGTTTGGCTCATGCCCAGGGAGAGAGGGCAGGGCCCTTTGCTGCTGTTATTGGCCATGGACATGGGCCTGAGGCCAATAGCCGTGGTTCCCCTGGACTCCTTGAAACAGTCAGAAGGTGCTTGTCACACGTCAGCTCTGCACATGGAGCCTCAAAGGGGTCTGTGTGAGCCCCGTCCAGCTGCCTGCTAAGCCCAGGAGCTCAGGTGCTTTCCGAGGTCAAGCTGGGAGACAGGTGTGTTCTCAGGGCTGGCACTTTTGGAGGAAGGATTCCCACCACCCTGGTAGGTATGTCCGAGTCCCACATCACTTGCCCCGGGTTACCCTCTACATATGGTTGGCCCACCTGACCAGAGCCTGCCATGGCACAAGCCTAGAGCACTTTCACAGTCTCCTAGGACTCATAGTACTTACTATTGAGGCAGTAGTTCCCACACTCTGCCAGGTGACAGCATGAAACAGAAAAGGGAAAGTCAGAATTTGAGAGTCACTATAAAACCCCAATGACTTTGGTTGCAGATCAGTGGAAACCAGCCTTGGTTCCCTCATAAAGCCCTGGAGAGGGCCCAGCACGTCTTCTTAGGGAAGATGAACATGAATCCCAACAGAAGCCACTGGAAATCTTTTCTCAGCAAGATTAGCACCAAGCCACCCAACTCGCCTCCCCAGACTTGGCTTAATGGTGGGGCTGGGGGTGGTGGTGGACCAAGAAGATGTGTATAGTAAGTTGTCTGACACTTCTGAGGCTCCTGTGACCTTGAACTGACAACCATCATTTATTTTAAACCTGGAGAAATAGTTCCTTGCTAAACAGTCACTTACCTTGTCAATGATTATTATTTTTCTTGGCTCTAGGCTGCCTGCGAAAAGGGAATGATAAGCCAGCCAGCTGCCTCTTTTCTCTCTCTAGTGGAAAATATCACCCAAATTCCCACCCCTCCCCTCTTTGCAAGACTCCAGAGCCCTGGTTATTTTGTGACTAACAAAGGGCAGGGGAACCCTCCAGCAACGGCACCATTGAATACAAGAATGGTAAAACTATACTCACTGTAGTCAATATACGTGGATAAACATTAATTCCATCCTAAAACATCAGAGCTGGAAGTGACAATCTAGCCCTTTCGGGTTTGTTTAAATATGAACATGATTATATTTTAACCTAACACTTCATACCTAATTTTTTCTGCATTGTCTTTTCTCTATGATGAAGGCTTTACTGATGCATTAGTTAAAACGTGGTTTTGTCATTCTCTCGCATTTATACCTAAAAGGTTGTGCCATCTGGTGACACAAAAAACACCCCGAATGAATAGCAGCCTGTAAGCCAGCAGCCCAGCAGCCCAGGCAAAGCAAATTTTCCACTTGAGGGACTCAAAATTCCCAATAGACTATAAAGAGTCAAAGAAAGTAAGGCTTTTTCATTCAGTCACAGGACATTAGTGGAGGAAGGACCTGGGGGTGTTGTAACCTAGCCTTCCCAACAGCCGGGGCTCCACTCAACCACACACTGATGCGAGCCCATAAAGCCCCAGGAAACACTTCGCAGGAAGGGCAGGTCACTCACTCACAGGGCAGCCCCCTCCCTGGTTGGACAGCTCCACTTGGTACAGAATTCTTGGTTACGTGAAGCTGACTCCAACCATAGAGTAAACAAACAAACGAAGCATCTTTTTCTACACTACTCGGCTTCAACTATCTAAAGACCCACATCTAGGCTGAACGCCCCTCCCCCAATTTTCCATTGTTTAATGATACACTATCCTAAGAAAAGAAATTCCCTGTGGTATGCATAGCTTATATGTTTTATTAATCTGTGTTTTTATATACTGAGTTTTCTTAAAGTATGGCTTGTATTCAAGTAAGTTCTTTTTTAATACACTGGAACCAAAAAAATTCACCACAATCAGACCCAGCGATATGACGTGAATCTACTAAATACAAAGTAAAATGTCCTAACTGTTGTGTATGTGGTAGATCAGAGTCAATCAGGCAAGATTCCACCTTTCGAGACTGCATCGCTGATGAACGTGTGACCCAAGCCCAGGCCTTGCCTCAGTAGCTCTGTCACAGTGAGTGCCTGCGGAGCAGCGCACCTGCTACAGAGAAACAGCCCCACCTAGCGGCCTTCAGGGTCCTGCACGGTCTGAGTCCACGCTGTTGTCAGAAACGCAAGGGAGGGAAGGGAGGACCAGGGCTCAGAGTTCTTCCCTGAATAGTGGCCTGTCTGCTATTGGCTGGGAGAACCCCAGGAGAAAGCATCTGTATTCTGGACCCTTGCCTTGGACACTCAGAGCCTCGCAAAGGCTCTGAGAAGTCCCGCAGAAGAGAGAGCTGTTTCAATGTGCTTACCCAGTATCCTCCAAACTTATCTGACCACAGAACCTCCTCACTCTTCATGTATGTGAATGTCTCTGTGTCTGTCTCTATATGTGTGTGCAAAACAGCCATTAACATTCCTTAGAATTTCACTTTTTACATGATCTTGTTAAACTCTGCTTTAACTTCTCAGTAACTTATTTAGATACAAAAGTTCTGAGGGACTGGGACACAAGATGGATAAATCTGAATGAAAGTAGAAAGAAAGAGGAAAGAAATCTCTAAGGATGGGGAGTATCTTTTAGAGAAGTGAGACCTTGTTGACAGTCCTCTGGTGAGATGAGAAGGGGGCCTTGCTACTGGGGTGCCACATGGGGTGCTGAGGTTTGAAGTGGAAGAAGGCACCTAAGAGTGAGAGCCCCTAAATGGAAGGTGAGGGGACCCCAAAGTCAAGCCTCATGATTGTTGTCGGCACCTGATGTCGTGCCTGGGAGTTAGAGGAACCTCTGTCCCCTCCTGTCCTCGTGGGCTCCCCAGGTTGGGACAGAGAGCCTCAACTGTCTGCAGCTGCTGCCGCCGCAGGGAGCCTGCTGTGCCCTGAGAGCAGCAAGGAGCTCGGTGGGAGCTGGATGCACCCCCTGTCTGGGCTCAGACCCTCCTGCTCATGCTCTGATCTTGCAGGGACCAAGGGACGTCCCCAAACCACCGCGATGGTCTGAGCGCCCAGAACTGCTCCAGGATTTGTCTGAGTTTCTGGCCCCAGCCCTCCTGCGCCACCAAGAGGTCAGAACAAGTGCCCCATCTCTCAACTAGGGCCCTAGTGGGATTTGCCATAAATTCTCTGATGAGGTTAGAGAAAACCAGACTCACTGAGGATCTTCAAAACTAAACTCCTGATGGAAAAAAGTGCTCTTTGAGATAGATGGACTGAATGAGACCTGGCACTGGTGATTTCTATGACAGGTTGCTCAGTGTAGAAGGACTATTTCAACTTCTGTGAGGGATGCTAGCAATAGGTTCTTGTTTCTGAAGCAAGATCTGGTTATCAGGGAGGGGAAAAAACAAACCTTTCAGTATAGGAGGCTGCGAATGACCTTGCGGTGATCTGCTCATTAGAATTACACAGGATCATTCACTAACGAATGGATCACTTACTCCTTTTTGGGGACTCATCACCAGGGTGAGCTATATTAATAAATATATTTCATATGATTTGCCATCCAGGTTTCAAAATTCTTTTAAATATAGTACTACATAGTCTTGTAATTGGCCACTTACATGTTTCATATTTTCCAAGGCTGCTGCAAAACTTCTCCTGCCATTTCATATACCAACATATCTACCTGTAATTTACAGTTTTCCTCTAAGCCATACTTCTGATGAAAATCAGAAACCTGGAAACAAACAGGAAGGAGAGCGAGCACATTCCTTCACTTCGGCTCACTGCCTTATTTCCTGCAGGCCTGTCTGCTTTTTTTTATTAGTTCCAGGACAGATGAGGCCCCACTGATGTTCTACACAAGAAGGTGGTCCTATGGCCCACATGATGCAGCTGCGTGGTGCAGGGCTCTTCTAGACCCCAGACCCATGGCCTCCGCCTCCCTGGGACAGGTGTGGAAAGCTCAGTCCAGCAGGTGCTTGTGGTCTGTGAGCCGCTCTGCTTTCAGACAAGGGCAGGTTGGAAGCTATGGAGTTCACAGTACCTACTAATGGACTTCATTTTTCTCACCAATAATAGTAATGGCTAGTGTTGACTGAGTACTTATCAGGCATGCTTCTAAATGCTTTATGTGCATTGCTTCATTGAATCTATAGCACAACCCTCTGTGTTAGATACTAATGCTACTGTTATTCCCATTTTACAGATGAGGAAACTGAGGCACAGAGAAAACTTAGGTAGCACGGAAAATAGCATTCTATAGAAGGTTATTCATACTTTAGTTTGGAGGAAATAACATACGATTCATCTTTTTCTGTATTTGGCAAGATTTCTCAGATTTCTATAGCATTCACAGGCAGGTGACAAAATATTTATCAGCCTATAAAGCACAGACATCAACCATAGGCTCTGGGAGTGGCCCTGGAAACTCCCCTATATTATGGGTTAACCTGTTGGTTCCCTGGATTCTCAGGGAAGGAACCGGGGGCAGGGAAGTGGGGATGCTATTTTCCTGCCATTACAGAAGTATTTCAGCATTTTAAGTATTAAATAATTACAGTAGTTTATATATAATTAGCCGCCTAATATATTATTGAAATTGTTGATAAAAAGAACTGGTATGGCTGTCCCGGAGTTACCAACTCTTCCTTTAAGAGTGGTGGTCCCCCAAATGGCCTGTCCCTTCCCTCTGCTCCCAGAAGCAGTGCCTGAGACCCCCGCGTATACCTTTCTGGCAGTGCAGCCCCTCAAAGCCCAAGGGGCAGTCACACTCATAGCCCTCCTTCCTGGGCCGGCAGCTGCCCCCATGGGCACAAGGGGCCCCCACGCAAGGGTGGGCTGCATTCTCCACATTCACGCCCCAGGTAAAGTCGTGCTTCACGTGGATGGTTCGGTCATTCAAGATGATCTTGGGGAGAGAAAATGTAAAGAAATTCAGAAGTTCAGAAAGCATCCTTGCAATCTTCTAAAGCTCTTCTCAGCACACTAACCTGAGCTACATGTAAAGCTTTAAAAATAAAAGAAAAAGTTCAGTAGTGAGCCAGCCTGATGGTCTGGTGGTTAAAGTTTGGTGCTCTCACTGCTTGGGCAGCCCGGGTTCACCTCCTGGTCATGGAACCACACCACTCATCTGTCAGTTGCCATGCTGTGGTGGTGACTCACAGAAGAACTAGAATGACTTACAACTAGGATATACAACCATGCACCGGGGCTTTAGAGAGGGAAACAAAAAAAGGAAGATTGGCAACAGATGTTAGCTCAGGATGAATCTTTCCCTGGAAAACAAAAGTCCATTTGCTGCTTTTATAGTCTTGTAAGTGATGCAGGAAATGAAGTGATTATGTTTGGCCCTCGGGAGAATCTACTGAGAGTAAAGCATCCTCTGGAAGAGTAGGCCACTCAGGGAGGTTGGTCCTAAAGAAGTTCCAGTAACTTCAAAATTAGGGTTCTCAACCTGGCTGCCTATTAGAATTGCCTGGGGAATTTTAGGAAATATACTAACGCCCCAGCCCCACCCAGATCAATTGAAACAGAATCTCTGAGGGTGAGATCCAGTCAGCAGTAACTTTTAAAGGCTTCCCAGGTGATTCTAAGATGCAGCCAAGGTTGAGAGATGCTGCTATAAAGCACAGCAGAGAAGAATACGTAAAGTGTTCTGCAGGTAGGAAGCAGAGGAGGAGTGAGGGCACTGGTGGCACGGAATCGGGAGAAGCTTCTGGCTGAACTGCTATATCCTCCTGGCTAATGTTCTCATGCAGTCTCCACAAACTCCATCAATGGGGCCTCCCCGATTGTCCCACTTGCTCCTGCTGTCCTCCTTCCCTGAAACTCTCGGATTCTTTTCATCCACATCCCCTTCCCCACCACTAGAAAAAAGAATGTGACTCAGGTCACATTCTTAGCACTGCTGTGCACATTCACCAGGACAAGAGAGCTCCTTGGCCCTCACTCTCCTTTCCCTGCAATGGGGTTCCAGTGAAAATGGTGAATTATAGGGAGAGGTTACTAGTCTCCTCAGCCCCAAATAAACAGACCCAATGTTTTCAGCCCTTGACTTGGAGAGTATATTTACTTTGAGCTGCTGGTGTTTCCATGTCATACAGACTTTGCAGAGCTCGGAGACGCAGAGAACAGCTCCTAGGGGAACATGCACTGTGCAGGGGGTCCTTAGAGGTTAGAAATGGCCCTTCCTGCCACTAATTCCTGTTTCCACAGGCTTGCCTAGTCCTTGGAGAGTGTCGGGAGAGCTGGGAGTAAAGTTTTCCCTAGTCCTGAACCTCAGAAGCTGCTAGAGAGGAGCCAGTATCCTTCTACAATCCCCCCCTTTTCATGCTGCGATGAAGGACTGTGAAGCTGAGTCATATGTACTTGAGACAAGCCCAGAACGGCACTGGTCACTGCAGGATATGGCCCAGTCGATGACTCGGTCACTGGGAGAGGAGGGTGGCCTTTCCAGGTAGTGAGGAGGAATGGCTTGTGTGTGCCGTGTGAAGGGGGGTCAAAGGCTGGCAAGCGTGGGGAGGGGGATGAAGACTCTTAGCATCTCAGCAGGCTTCCTAAGTGAGAGTTTCAAACACATGATTAAACACGGCCAGTCTCACTCATGGGGGGACCATGGTCTGAACTGAGGTGTCACTGACATCACAGTTCAGCAACAAAGGGAAACATATCAGAGTCAGCAAACACTGACTGGGTCCCTTTTCTGGGCCCAACGCTGGCATACAAGAGGAGAAGGACACAGGCCCAGGAGTCCTTCCCAGTACCCGGATGTGCAAATCATGATAGGATCTTCTTTCACTGTCCCTCCTTCATCTTAGCTTCCCTCCTTCTTTGCCTCAGGTCTGAAAAGGATCAATGGCCCACATTCCACCCTTGGTGCTAGAGGAAATCAGGATGACGCTATTATCTGGGAACCAAATATGCTTTCCTTCAAATCCTTTTTCTCCCAGTGTTTGGTGGTCCCAGAAATCTGGTATGTCAACTTGCACGTCTGCTGCAGACAGACCATACTCTCATAACTGGAGAAATCATGGGCAGCCCCAAGAGAAGGAATAAGAGACACATATGATTGGGATCAGCACCCTTTATCTTTTACTAGCTGAGTGGTTTTTTCTGAACCTTCTACAGAAGGACTCTTTATGCTCTTAAGAGCTTGGTTACATGATGGATGGACAGCAACTGCTAAACTGTGGGAGTGGGGATGATGATGGAGGTGGGAATGAGAGCTGGGTCTTGCCTTGAGCAAAGTGAAAGGAACCTCACAGAGAAGCATAGAGCCAAGAGTTATGAGACTCCATTCACCTCCTTCCCTTTTCTAGAAGTATCTGCAGTGACCTGATGCCAGTTGCCTCCTTCAGCAGTCCCAGGATATTTTGGTGGATTTGCTGTAAAGATTTACCTTCATTGAGTTGCATTCATGGAATGTCTGCTGGGCATAGACCCAGAATAAGATGTTATTAGAAAGTAGGGTTGGAAGGCTACACTATGAACATTAAATAATACAATCTTAAAAGTGCTAAAACTGGGGCCGGCCGGGTGGCACAGCGGTTAAGTGCACATGTTCCGCTTCGGCTGCCCGGGGCTCGCTGGTTCGGATCCCGGCTGTGAACATGGCACCGCTTGGCAAGCCATGTTGTGGCTGGCTTCCCACATATAAAGTAGAGGAAGATGGGCATGGATGTTAGCTCAGGGCCAGTCTTCCTCAGCAAAGAGAGGAGGATTGGCAGCAGTTAGCTCAGGGCTAAACTTCCTCAAAAAAAGAAAAAGTGTTAAAACTTTCTCAAAGCTTTTTTGGGGGATGTAGCAGGTTTCACTGACCACAGTTCTCAATTTCATTGTCTGCAGTCAAGGTCACACAATAAACATGAGCAAGTGAAGCCTGTACCTTCTGGATGCTCCCAGTAAATGGCCTGAGGATGCCAGAGTTCTTCTTCACCTCGTCGTAATTGGGGACTCCACCAATAAAAATGTCTGTGTTGCACTTAATTTGTGTGAAGCCTCCCTGCCAACAAATTAAAAACAAAACATGGTATAACTTCAAAAAAGATAGTGAAGACTACTAAAAGTGTCTTTGGCTCCTGGTTAGGGAACCAAACGGTAGAGACAGCCTGAAGACTCATCATGACAACGTGTCTACACGTTGGCTTAACTTTCACGTTGTTTTGCATTGCTACTTACCCGTTTGAATGTTTGTAAATTTATTAAGCTCTCTGAGATTCTGTTTCATCATCCATTAAATGGGAATCATAATAGCTGCCTCTTCGATGTGTCAGGAGGAATGTGGTAGACTGCGTTACCTACCACAGGTATTCAGCATCCTTCGGCTGTATCCCAGTCTCTGCAGGAGGATTACCCCCAACCTGTCCCTCTCAAGTGGGCCCAGGTAACTTGCTTTAGTTAATAAAACACGAGCAGAAGAGAAATGAATCACTTCTGGGCTGAAGGCTTCAGAGCCAGGGAGTGATTCACTGTGTCCTCTTCCCCCATCGTCTGTTCCTTCAGCCTAGGTCTCAGATTAAAGCTGCAGCCGACCATTGATGGATATGTAGTGTGAGTGAGAAATAAACCCTTATTATAAGCTGCTGATCTTTTGGGGTTGATTGTGACTGAGTGTAGCACAGTCTAGCCTGTCCTGGCAGCTCTGATCCCACTAATTTGCCACTTTGCCCAGAGTGGGATGCACCATCCGCATTCTAGTATGGCCAGCTATTGTCGTATTTGCTACTGGTAAGGCTAGACCTTGAGGCCAAGAGGAAAGGAAGGCATGGCGGGTGGGAGGCATTCCTTGCTATCAAATACAAAGGGCAGAGAAAATCTTTCCAGATTCCCAGAGAACACCCCATTGTCAATCCCCAAAGGCATCGTCTGCTTCTGGTCATTTTGACAGCCTAAACTCCAACAGCTGGGCTAGATAACAAGCTGTTGTAATATTTGATGTCTAAATTCCTTGCAACATGAGCCTTAAATGGGATGTTAAAATGTCCTAAGATAACATACAGAGATAAGCTAAAATTTGAGATCTCTGGGGATGCACACACTTTGGGTAACATAAGTTATTGCTTCTTTTGATTTATGGCAAAAGAAATACCACTGGTAGCAGCATTCAGTCATTAATCTAACAAATATTATTGGGCACCTACTATGTCCAGGCACTAACTGTTGGACAAACAACAATAAAGACACACCTGTCCCTGCCCTCCAGAGGCTTACAGTCGGGGAGACACAGGCAAATAAGTGGGCAGGTGGCATTGGCGCTGTGAGGACCGTCCAGGTGGCTAGGGTGCACCTGGTGGTGGTGGAGTGGGGTGTCTCATACCCTACCCCAGACATAGAGAGTTAGGAGGTCATCAAGGAAGAGTTAGAATTGTAGAAACTGGACAAAGCCAGGGCTTGGAGGGAATGTGGGTACAGGGCAGAGGCAAGGAGGGACCAGATCGTGCATGCATAGGAATTTGTTCTCTACCCAAAAAGCAACGAGTTTTAAGCAGGAGAGAGAATAGTCAGATCTGTGTTTTGGGAAGATCACTGGCCAGAAGGAGGAGAATGGATGTGGGGTTGGGCTGGGTTGGGATGGAGAAGAGGAGACAGGCAGCGCAGAAAGGGGAGCGCTCACAGAGACAGAGTCCAGCCAGGTAGCTGCAGCAGGGTCTTGATTAGATTACAGACTGGATTGCCTTCTCTTGATAATCTTTGGGCAGCTTCGAGGGTTCTTACTTAATTGCAGGCTGGGGTGGGGGGTGGGGTGGTCATCAAAGAAGCAGAAGGGCTTTCAGGAATTCTTGTGGCAGATGGAATAAGAACCAGGCAGGCACAGTCACCACACACCCACAGGCTCCCATTTCTTTTGTCTTTGCTCTTATCGGAAAGTTAAAATAAGATAATAAAAGGAAAAGGAGGGAGGTTACAGGGTCAAAGGGGTTTCAGAGAAGCAGGCTGTTTGGAAAATCTTTGAGTTACACTCCCATCCAGTGAATGGGGCGGGGCCTCGTGGGGTGAGGGCCTTTTCTTTTGGCCGCTCATCAGAATCCTCCCCCACCACCCTCCTGTTGACAAGAGGCAGGGCTGCAGCTGCCACACCCACGTGGGACCGCAGGAGAGAAGCAAACAGACCCCACCAAAGTGGGGCCTTCTGAAGTGAAGCGCTCCGTGTCTGGATCTGCCACTCCTGTTTAGATGGAAGTGGTCGGAAAACCTGAGCAAACCCCCTGGTTGGGGTTTTCTGAAGCCCTTGGCAGCACTGCCCTCTCTTTGAGTCCTGCCATTGCTTGACTCATAGTTCTGGGCTGTTGGTACTTCTCAGTGCAGTCGGCTGAGCAATCCCTTTTAGTCTGGACACTTAGGGGCCAAGGTCCTGGGTCATCCCCGTGAAGTGTTCTCTAATCCTCACCCCTTCCCCGGGTCTAAGCTCTAAGAACACTACCCCTTGAGCAAGGTATGGACAGCTGGGAGCAGAATCTTCTGGAGGGAGATCTGATTAAGGCTCAACCCCAGAGTTCAAGCATGGGGCTTTCCCACTCCTGATTCTGAGCAGCCTCAAAAGAACCACCCTCAAATGCACACAGAATAGCCACACCTTCCCTCCCACATGTTTACCTTGCTTTTCAAGTGGGCAGCACTCCAGTCAGCTCCAGCCATTCAAAAAGCCAACAGGGAGGGCACTGGTTATGCCATACTGGGTTAATTCTCATTCCCTGATGTGGTAGTAGAAACTCTGAAGTGCGGTTTTTACCTCTGTGTCATCTCTTCACTGTAGGATCCCAATGGTAAACACTGTGTCTTGAAAACTTCCTTATTTATAATCAAAGGCCTTAACCCTACTATTTATAAACACTCCATCCTAAACTTCTGTTTTTGTTTTACAGCTGTTTGTAACTAAGGCCTAGAGAGATACAATTTTTTTTTTAATTTATATTCTTAAGTCAACATACAGTCAAGTCAATACTTGTGAACTGCTAATTCTGTCTTGGACTAAGGTCAGCTATTAGAATTTTCCTGATTGTGCCAGAAGTGACTCCTGTTTTCCCTTTAAAATCCATTTCTCCTTATCCAACTTCCTCCTTTCCTTCTTTCCCTCCCTCCCTCCTTTCTTCTTTCCATGAATATATTTAGAACATTTTCTGGGTCTGAAGGGTGCTCGCCTCTTGAAGCAGAACCCAGGTTGGCATTCTTGTAATCCTAAGGAAGCCTTTGGTTCTGACAGGACCTCCCACCACTGCTGTCCCTGAGGCTGGCCTTTGGACATGTGCGTCCTTCTTTCTTCTCTCTTCCTCAGCCAAATACCTCTTTCCCACCCAAAGTCTTTTTTTATAACCAATCCATTTGCTTTTCAGAATACTCACACTCATCAACACCCTCTTTAAATCTTGCGATGCACAAAATGAAGATTGTTGGGGATGAAAATACTGGCACATAGAAAACGCCCTGTGTCTAGGGGTCTGTAAATCTGTGTGCGTGTGCAGAATCCTAGTTGGTTATAGTTTAAAGCAGATCTCTCTTATCTCTTCTTAAAAATGTCATTGTCCTTTGGATGTGACTTTGGAAATAAAATCGTGGAAGAAAGTTATAAACTTGAGCAGAAGTCCTGAGCTCTTGAAGTCATGATGGTACGCTACATATGAACTAAGAACGATAAGTACAGCTACATAGAGCTGACCGTATGCCGGGCTCTGTTGTGTTTTACAAATATAGTTATTCTCATTCTCACAACTCCATGAAGCAAACACTATTATTATCACCATTCTCCCCATTTTATAGATGAGAAAACACTAACTTGGGGTCTGAGTTCACACCACTGGAGCTAGATGTTGAACCCCGGGAGTCTGGTTTCAGAGCCTGTGTTTTTGGCAGATGTGCCACCCCCACACCACTGGCCCTACCTCGGAGTCTGTGTTCTGACCGCCTACATTATCCACCCACATAAACAAAGGCGGGGGTGGGCAGTGAAGAGTGGAGGTGGCGGGCAATTTTTTTAAGTGCTGTACTCATATTGGCTCACTTAATCCCTACAAGCACCCTATCAGGCTGCTACTATTATCATCCCCCTTCACACTGAGGAACAGAAAAGTTAAGTGACTTGCCCAGTGGGGAGCCGGGGTATTAGCCCAGGCAGACTGGCACTACAGTCCATATGTTTAACCATTACACTGCTGCTTTTCTCTCCAGGACAGGGAAAAACCAGTAACCCAGCTCACATTAACCATCAGGAACAAGGGTGTGTCCTTCTTACCTCCGCCATTCGCTCCACTACCTTCTGCTTATCCACCTGTAAGATACCATTCTTCGCTGTGCGAGATACATGCAGCTCATGCCAGTGGCCCAGGGTGAGGGGGTCTTCACTCCTGTTGAAGGAAGGAAACTGAGCGTGGGTTAGCATCACTGGTGTGATGGACAGTATTTATCAATCCAGCTCTGATGAAACTCATACCAACCTTAGGCACCTCACTCTGTTTGGCAAAAGGAAAAGAATCATTCCTTCTTAGTAAACACAGAAATGCTAGCTCTAGTTATTGGACCCCTTCCTGGCAGGAGCATTGCATTTATTATTTCATTTATTCTTCATAACAAGTCTGAAATGTGGGTAGCATGAGTCCGGTTTTCTAGATGAGGGGTGATAGGAAGGTAAATGTGATTATAGTTACACACAAGCTTCGAAGAAGAGAAAATTATATGGGCTTGGGTGTAAAACACAGATTCCTGGGTCTATTCATGTCTGCAGCATCCTTTGAAATGAATAAAAAAAATAAGATGAATGGATGGAGAGATATAAGCTTGGCTAGACAGGGATAAAGCAATTACAGCAAAACGTTAATTGTAGACTACAGATGGTGGGTATAAAGATGTTTACTGTACAGTTCTTTCTACTCTTCTGTATGTTTGAAATTTTTTCATAATAAAATGTTGAGGGCGGGGTAAATTCCATGTTGTCTGATACTGTGAAAAGGATTAAAATTACTTTAAAAATTCAATTATTAATTCAAGGCGGGAGGACTTGAAGTTTAAATGATACTGATAGGAGTTTTACACACTACTTTTTATAGTGAGGTGTACAAAAAGAGTACAATCATTGCATTTGTATTTTTAATGACGTCTAGTTCCTGGCCTTCACTGAACCTCCCAATTATTTTTTGGTCCTGGATCATCTTTAGAAAACCATCAGGAATACCAATGGGCACAATTATTAAAAGGTTTCCACCTCCTCACTTGATTTTTTGCTCTGGCAAATGCTTTTCTGATTTGTCCTTAGCTATTAGAATTTAATCACCTTGACTAAATCAATACGCAATAAAGAAACCAGCGGCACTTTTTAAGCGGCCCGTCTCCATAATAACTAACAGCGCCTTAGTCGAGCTCCCGTCCTGCAGAGGTCACTCCCTGTCAGTATGCTGCCTTGCTCAGCACACTTATATTGATCATGGCCATCATGAGCTCGTTTCAATTGTCTCGATTTCTGAATCAAGTTCATAATGAATTTGACCACCTTATCCTTCTCCTAACGTTAAAATGATTTGGCCAATTCCATGGCTTCCACTGAAAGTTCAGGCTTTCACTGAATTTTCTTAATTAAACAGGGAGTCTTTGAAATGGTTTTCAAAATACACATCTTCCAGAGGGGCACCTGAAACACCAAGAGTGGTGACATTTGTCAGATTAACTGGAGAGGGGATGGGACAAAGGAGCGGGTGGAAATTCTGAGACTTTGACTCCTTTTCATCATATCTAATACTCAAAAATTCTTTTTCCAGGCGCCTTTCCTGGCAGGCAGGGAAAGAATAACTTACATTAAAAAAAAATTAAAAACATCTCTTGTCAAAAATAGGCACAGATTCATGAAAAAGAGAAATGCTGGATTTCTGGGGTCCCATGTGTCTGTGACCCCACAGCTGGAGCTGCCACTGCAGAAGTGGAGGGTGTGGGGTGCAATCTGTCCAGGAGGAGGGTTGATGAGCCCCGACCCTTCCTTGGCTCTTTCTGGTCATTCTTTTCCTGGAGGAAGCCACTGGAAAGTACGAGGTGATATTCAAGGTGTCTCCCTTTCTCAACTTGACAAATAGTTCTAAGTAAATTGCTTGGACTGTTTTGCATAATCATATGTAAATTGAATCAATTAAATACCCATCAAAGTAGTCTTGAGACATCAGATATTTTCCCATAACCAGAGGTACAAAAAATGTTTGTCCATTCCCCAAGGTGGGAGGTGTCACTGATGAGTAGGAATTCAGCCGTAAGGACAAAAATGAACTGCCCTTTCTAAAAATTGTTGAAACCCAACACAGTAAGCATTTCCCATCAGCCATGAAAAATGATCAGCAGTTTAGGGCAATGCAAGATTGTAATATCTCACCCGCATACTCTTCCTAAAAATGACAGTCCAGCAATATGAATGGTGATTGAATACAGCCCGCAATTTCTTTTAAGGCGACAACAACAGACTAGCTGATTTCCTGCTGCAGGGCACCAACGAACAAAACATCATAGTGAGTTTCAAAAGAGAAGACTCTGTCGCGTTCCGCCCAGCGTAGGAACAAGAAGCACGTCTGCAGTAGGTTAGCAGGGCTCTGGCTTGAAGATAAAAACTACCATGGGAGGAACTCAGTAAGAAGACAGAGACATAAACAAATAAGAAAAACATCTGGTTTACCAGCCACAGGCCCCGAGGGATTCACAAAGATACCGACACACTGTACAGGAACAATCGATCTGCTAGGTAAATTAATAGTACAAACTAGATAACAGGAGGAACGTTTTGATGACTCAGAACCAATTCTGCAGATACCAGCAGGTACTTTAGAAGCACCTATTTTACTGCCATGCTATTGAAACCACTCATCACCCAGGCTTCTTGAGCGTATTTGTCAGGAATGGGTCATACAACTGCTAATGATTCATCGTCAGATTCTTCACATGGAGAAGGGTAAGAGACTTGCTAAATAACCAGTTACCATCAAAGAAACAGAGCAAGAGGAAAGTAAACATTTCAAGTGAGGTTACCAAGGACATTTCTCTTCATTAAATCTCTGTTAATACTTTTTTACTAGTCATCCTATATTTGCTGAGCACCCACCAAATGATGCTCCAGGCAAGGTGCTGATTAATTACAATTCATCAAGTTTCTGCTGATGGCATTGTTTGACTGGAGGTGGAAATGAAAGCAATTTAGCCCCATCTGAAGCAAGCCCATTGTCTATGGTTTGAAGCAGAGAATTGCTACCTGCTGGGTAGTTATTTGAGAAAAGGAAACTGTGCCACCAGGAGAGCATGACCAATGGGAAGCACGGCATCTGTGTGAATCAGGACAGGTTTCAGAAAAGATAACTGTGTAGGGAAGACAGGAAGAGTGCAAACTATTAGATGACAAATTCGTCTTTTTCCAAAGCAGCTACTATTTGGCTTTTGGGGGAAAGAGGGCCCCAAAGGTCTCAGCCCTTACCTGAGAACACCAGTCCCAGAGCCACAGTCAAAGCGGAACTCCACGTGACCCTCTGCCATGTTGATGGACAGGAAGTCTTTGCTGCCCGTGTCATAGCTGTACAGGAGGACGCCGTCACCTGAGTCAGGCCGAAATGTAATCTCAAACTCCATGAAGGAAAGATAATGCTGGGGCTCCAGTGGCCAGGGTGTTGCAGCATAGGATCTGAGGGACTCTCTGAATTGAGGAATTGTCAAGGTGAAAGCTGAAGAAAGAAGCATGTTGTTAGAAATCCCTCCGTGACACAACCAGCCATGCTCTTTTCCTCCTGGGTACAGAGCTAAACGACATTTCCCAGCTGCCATGAAGTTAGATGGATGGTGCAACTGAATTCTGGCCAGTGCAATGTGGGTAGGAGTATTATATAGCACCCCAGGTCTGGCCCCTAAAACTGCCCTCCATGCATCATGCACTCTCTCTTCTCTCACCTACCGGCTGGATGCAGGAATCAGTGGAGAATTCTAACGCCCTAGCAGAGACACTAGAAGCCAAGAGCCTGCATCCCTGAATGACTGTGTGGAGCAGAGGCCACCCCATTGCCAACACCACCTGCAGTGATGTGGTGTGAGCAAGGATCAACCTTCATTATGTCGGGCTACAGAAATATGAGATGGTATGTAATAGTTTTGGCTTACCCTGACTCATATGCCTTCTTCTAGGTGACATGAGATTTGAGATTATATAGCGTTAAACAAAATTTTCCCCAGGATGGTGTCTTAGGCCCAAATCTGAATCACTAGTGGAAAAGTTAAAACACGTTCAACCCTGCACGGTTTTCCAAAATCTTTCAAATTTTTAAAATTTTCCATTATTATATGTGTGCATTTGTGTGTACATGTGTGTTTACATGTATATATACATGTATCTATATATTTTATATAATCAACATATACAGTATTGAGAGGTAGAATAATTCAGCATAAGGGTACAAAGAAAAAGAAACAAGATCACTTTTGTCCCATCACATTGTTAATGTTTCTGTGTATTATCTTCCCAACGTTTTCCCTGAAACTGTCAGATATTCTAAGGAGCTTGAATTGTAAATGCTTCAAATTCAGTCTGATATAGACCACACAAATATGGGCTTTTCAAAGTTATTTGAAGGCCAAGAGGAGCCCACCTTGCCCAGAAGCACCTTAAAATGAACATATCTTTGATTGGTTTGACACTTTGACACTCGAAGACACTCTAACCCGGTAAAAAAAAAAAAAAAAAGATTCTCCCATCCCTCCCAAGTAAACAACATTAACCCCATAAAAAAATATGCAGCTTTGCTAAAAGTACATTGATGACAAATTACATCAACATGAATTAACAACGCAGGCAGAAATCGCCATCAACTTGCTTCTTTCTCACCATCTTCACAGTGTCGACCTTTAAATCCAAGGGGACAGAGGCAAATGTAGGAATCGGCTTTGACCGCTGTGCAGGTGCCGCCATTGATGCAGGAGGCTTCATCACAGATCCCACTGCTGCACTCCCCTAAATACAGAACGGGAGTTACAAAGCCGATTCACCACGTGAGCCAGTCCAAGACGCCGGGGCTCACCACCCCGACAGCTCATGGTTCTGAATACATACGGTTCAGTCCTCACTCCTGTTGATTTGCACTTCTGCACAACTGCAAACCAGCTTCCAGGATAAGTGGCACCTTCCCTCCATTTTAATTTGATTTTGGCTTGTTCTTTATAAAGAGCCACAGAGACTCTTTAAAACATGGTGGACACAATCAATCAAATAATAAATTGTTGGGCAATTTTATGACCACTGACGGGGATGACTGAGTTGTCTCTGCTTTAATTCATCTCTCTTTTGTCCCCACAAGAGTGTGTTTCAACCCCTCCAATGTCAACACGGTGTTTATGTTAAAAGTGTTCTAATTTGCATGGCCCCAATCACTGTAAGTGCTGCTGCCTTGTTGGTGGAAAGCTGAGGCAAGCAAGATAAGCATCGAAGGAGTTAAGCTGTCTAAGTTTATTAGCTGGGCTGAACTGTCCATTCCTCTGTCTGGGACAGGGAGTGGGGAGGCAGGGCTCCCTGATAGCTCAGTGTGTGTATTCCAGAATCCCCAGTCCAAAGTGACAATCTTATGAGGGACAGGACGGTGGCCTGGAGTAAAAAGTGTTGAGAGGTTCAACATCAGATGGGTTTGTTCTCTTCACTAAACATATTACAGAGGCCCATCCAAGGTATACTTTGTCGTTTTCAAGTGTAGACCATTACAAGAAGCGGGAACAAATTGACTTTTCTCGGTCTGCTTCTCTTCTGCTTCTCTGGTCTTCCTTTTCTCCTTGTGTATAAGAAATAAATACGGCAGATGGGCCTTGATCTGGCCCAGAACTATATAGGTGCATACAAATCACTTTTTCTGGGGATGGAGACAAAAGGGACCTCTGATTGAGCTGTGAGGGGTCCAGCTCTGTGCCCCGCAGTCTCCAGTGCTGTGCCCTCATGAGCTGGTAGCCCGTGCCCTACGCGATGAAGAGCCCTCTTTGACCTGATTGTGTCTTCTCAGCCGGGGTAGCCTCTTATCCTTTCCTCATCAGTCACCTGTGCTTGTTGAATTGATCCAGTCTTTTCTTTTCATAGAGCCTCACGGGGAGGAGGGGGAGGGCTGGGCGCCTGTTGTACCCAGGAGAGGAGACCAACTTCAGGGGCTGATAACAGAATTTAATTAAAGCCCTTCCAGATGGCTTGTCCCTCTAGCCAGGGTGGGCTGGCCTCTGTGAATTTCAGCTGGGAGCCACTGGAAGTTCAGGCGGAAGTGACTGGTGGTGTCTCTTCTGCCACAGCCCTCAGCACATCACCAGCATTCATGGTCTGCACAGAGAGGCTGACTCTGATCTTAGCCACACTCTCACAGGTCCCTGGGCTCCACCAATCTCTGGGGGCTGAGATTCCTTCTCAGACAAGGGCTGGTCCCACAGGAAGAAGTGGGGTCCTTGGGTTTAGATACACATGGAAAAAATTACTTTATGAATTTGCGTTGTAACTATTTTTTAAGAGGTGGGAGTAGGGCGGGGGGCGTGAAAGCTGGCCAGAGTTGTTTACTTGATGAAAGCAGGGTTTCGGCAAGATTATGCTGTCAAAAGTACGCAAGATAGATTGTGAGAGGTGGGGCTGGGAAAGAGGATGGAAATCATACAGGGAGGTAAACTGGGGCCAGATAGTATGATAGCAGAGGAAATGGGGAGAAAGTGGAGAAGCACAGAGACACAAGGAGAGAAGAAATAGCCAGCTCACTCTATAGGTTGAAGGCGGAGGAAGACTAGCATAACCTCAAGGTTCTAGCTTGGAAGACTGAAAGAAGAGCGGCAAGAGGAAAGAAATGAGCACAGCCGAGAAGGGGAACTGGTTTCTGAGGAGCAGAGGAGGAGTTGGATTTTGCTCAATTTAAACATAAGGTGACTGTGGAAACATCCACTGCTGAGCCCCGTGGGCAGGAAGGGATCCTGCATACAGGTGAGGGCTGGAGGGGCCATGGCAGCGTGGTGGTGACCCTGACACCAAGAACGGATGGGCTCCCTGAGAGAGGACAGGACGAAAGGGCCCCATGGACTCCCAGGGAACCGAGGAAGGCTGAGGAGCCAGCAGAGAAGACAGAGGGAGAACTGGCCAAAGGGTCGGGAGGACCCAGGCAAGGCAGCTTCCCGGAAGCTCAGGGAGGGGCAGGAGCAGAGAGAAGCCAGAGTTAATACTGCCCAGAGGTCCAGGAGGAAAAGTTACTGGGTTTTGTGCAGAGAGGACCACTCACAGCTTCAGGAGAGCAGTTTTGTGCATGGAAGGCAGCAGCCCCCTCACAGGAGGTTCAGACAGGCGGCCTGGAAAGGCTGCCAGGGTCAGGTCTTGAGAGAGAGGAGAGAGGTTCCCAGGTTCCCAGACCAGAAGGGTACAGCATTCTGCAAAGCATGGCACTGGTTTAAGCTGGAAAGGAGCAAGTGTGAACAAGCTAGAGTAGGGGGTCTGTGAACTTGGATGGGAAAAGATGAATCTTTATTTTCCCTAACCTCTAACTGTAATTGAGCGTTTCCTTCAATTATCAACCCCTAGCATTAGCAGTTCTTGTGACTTGTGACCAATTGTCATCATATCACATTCCATTTGTTGCAGATACCTCAAAATATCATTTATACTCATTACAACTTTGAGATCATGGTAGTTATTGCCCACTATTAAATAATCCTATTGGTTAATGCTTTCTAAAGAAGCACCTATATTGTTATAGTATCAAAACTTAAAAATATAGTACAGCTTTATTTCAATGTAATTGTGCCCTCTGATGTATATTATTGTCTGCATTTAAAAACATCATTTTGAGAAGAGGTCCATAAGCTTCACCAGACTGCCAAAGAGGTTCATGGCATGCAAACGCTGAAGAACTCTTAGGTTACGAAAAGAGATAACCCTGACAGCAGGGTTCCAGGGATGTAGGGAAAGATGGGTGCAGAGTGTAGATGAACAGGATAGTTTTAGAGACGAGGAAAACCTTCAGCTCTGAGAGTGGGAGGAAGGAGGTCACAAGGTCACGTGTAGAGAGAGCTGGCAGGACTTCATCATCAATATATAAAACAACTTTTGTCGACACTGATGCCTACTGTATGCCAGCTGTTGTGTAGGTTTATGTAAGATAACAAAGTAAGGGGCAGGAGGGAAGACCTCTTGAGTCCAGAATAACCTGGGGAGTTGGCTCTGTGACTTTGCTCCAGCAGGGTGTGGAGATCCAAGATGGGATTGGAAAAACTGAGTGGTGGTGGTTTAGGTTTGAGAATTTGGGTGGAAATAAGAAAAGACGAGGCTGGGCCAGAGAATGCAAAATTTTGCTGAGACTTCTGACTATTCTAGAAAGTGAGTTGCAGAGAGTCCAACAGCTGGGAATAGTCTAATGAAGGAGATGAAGTGGGAGGGGTTGAGCAATGAAAGGCCCCTTTGAGGAGTGGAAACAGGTTTGGTGAGGATGGAGGGGGGAGCAGAGAAAAAGTTGTAGTTGAAGATGGCAATGCCACGTTAGCAGTATCAGATGGAGGAACTGTGACTCTGCAACTGTCATCACCTCCTCTGGCAGCCTGTAACTCCACCAGAAATTTGCTGCTGTTTGCATAAGCCCAGTCTTCCCCATCATGAGACTGCATTTAACTTACAAGAACTTGAACTTTAGGATGACAACTCGAAGGACAGCAAATATGGAGGTCAAGGAAGGATAACCAGACCCACTCTTGTAGCCCAGGGGAAAATAATGAGAAGAAATGAAAAAAGGCAATGTGACCGATGCCTGCCATTCAGGTTCATAGAGAGAAACTGAACCATCCAATAGCTTCCTCCAGGGAGCCCAGAGCCAGAAAGGTGGGCTCTCCTGGTGCCACCTGCTCAATGGAGAGGTTGGCATCGCACTGTGTGAGAATTTAAAACACTGTCAGAAATCAGCCCTTGCTCAACTTTGCGACTTCTTAACTACCTGTCAGAGATTAACACGCAGCCTTGGGACTGCCAGAGCTGTCCTTTGGGGCAGCTTCCCTGTAGGTCAAGGAAGAGAGAAGAAACAACTTATACCCTGCTTGATAAATGGTGTCAGAATACTAATAACAATATTAATAGCAGGAAATATTTACCATGTTCGCTATGTGCAAGGCATTATTCTAAGTACTTTATATGCACCGCAACTCATCCGGACAAAATAATCTTAGGAGGTAGGTACTATTTACAGATGGGGAAACCGAGTCCCAAAAAGGTTAACTGATTTGCCAAATCCAGGCAGTCTGCCCTCAGAGTCCAGGTTCTTAAACACCACAGCAGACTTTGACAGACCTGCTGGGGCTCACGTTCTGTATCATCACAGACACCCAGGAAGAGGGATTTTGGAGACATGGTCCTACCACAGCGGATACTTTTATAATTGTTTTAGTTGTTGCTGTTTACTGTTTGCTTTGACTAAGTGATCAATTGGGGGGGAATAACACAGGGAGTAACATATGGGTAGTAATCTTTTCCTTTTAAGTAAACTGCATCTTTTGTAGTTTTAACCATGGTATCACCTTTAGGAGTGAGCAAGATGGAGGGAAGCAATTTGAAGCCAGTTTGGGAGCCTTGATATGGCAGATGGGGTTAAGAGGGCAGGCACTGAGGCCAGAATGGCTGAAGTCACAGTTAGGCTCTGCAACTTGCTAGCTGTTGTGACCTTGGGCAAGTTACTGAACTCTTCTATGAGACCAGTTCTCATCTGTAAACACCAAGGCTCATCCCAATTCTGACTTCGTAGGAATCTTGGGAAGGTTAAAGCAGTTTAGAATGGTGGCTACATATAGTACGTGCTCAACTAATTTCAGCAACAGAACAGACAAGCTGCACCTGGAGACATGAGCATCAAATCCTAGCTCTGACCCAGGAATGGAGAGAAGGATGGAGAAATACGTGGTAAAGCAAATGTGGCAAAATGGATGGCAGAATCTAGGTAGTAGGCACGTGGTATTCCCTGTGCATTCTTTTAAAATATCATCTTGGAGACGGAGGGAAAAGAGACCTGAGAATGGGACTTGCCCATTCTTGCCAAGGACAACGCCATGTGAGGATGTGATGCTTAGAATTCTGGCACCATCTTGAGATTATGAGTGAAAAGCAAGAGAATCACAGAGACACCAACCCAGTGTTCTGATATCCTTGAGTCGCTGTTATGGACTGAATTGTGTCCCCTCAAAATTTGTAGGTTAAAGCTCTAACTCCCAATATGACTGTACTTGAGAGATAGGGTCTTTGAGGAGGCAATTAAGGATAAGTAAAGTCCTAAGGCTGGCCCTCACCCAATCTAACCCGCGTCCTTCTAAGAAGAGGGAGAGACACCAGGAGCACAGACAAAAGGCCATGTGAGGACACAGTGAGAAGGTGGCCGTCTGCGAGCTAAGGAGAGAGGCCTCAGGAGAAACCAGACCTGCTGACACCTTGATCTTGTGTCTCAAGCTTCCAGAACTGTGAGAAAATAAATTTCTGTTATTGAAAGCACCCAGTCTGTGGTATTTTGTTACGGCAGCCCTAGTAGGCTAAAACAGTCATGGAATTAACCAACCTTAGAATTATCTATCTGTTGCCTTCAGTGATGGAATAAATGCCCTTATTGCTTTAAAAACAATCCTAGTCTTTTCAACAAATGGTGCTGGAACAACTGGAAATCTACATGCAAAAAACGAGTCTAGACACAGACTTCACATCCTTCACAAAAATTAAATCGAATGGAACAGACCTAAATGCAATATGTAAAGCTATAAAACTCCTAGAAGATAACATAGGAGAAAACCTAGATTATCTTGGGTAAGGCAATGATTTTTTAGATACAACACCAAAGGCACGATCCATGAAAGAAATAATGGATAAGCCGACCTTCATTAAAATTAAACATTTCTAATCCATGAAAGACAACATCAAGAGCATGAGAAGACAAGCCACAGACTGGGAGAGAATATTTGCAAACGATCTGATAAAAGACTGTTATCCAAAATATACAAAGAACTCTTAAAACTCAGCGGAAAACAAACAAAAAATGGGCTAAATACCTTACCAGACACCTCACCAAAGAAGATAACATACAGATGTCAATTAAGCTTATGAAAAGATGCTCCACGTGAGATATCATCAGGGAAAGGCAAATTACAACAAGATACCTCTACACATCTACTAGAACGGCCAAAATCCAGAATTGTGCCAGTGCCAAATGCAAGCAAGAATGTGGAGAAGCAGGAACTCTCATACATTCCTGATGGGAATACAAAACAGTACAGCCACTCTGGAAGACACTGTGACAGTTTCTTACAAAACTAAACACATACTCTTACCATATGATCCAGCAATCACACTCCTTGGTATTTACCCAAAGGAGTTAAAAACTTATGTTCACCCAGAAAACCCACACAGGGCTGTTTAAAGCATCTTTATTCATAATTGCTAAAACTTAGACACAACCAAGATGTCCTTCAGTAGGTGAATGGATAGATAAACTGCAGTCCATCCAGACAATGGAATATTACTCAGTGCTAACAAGAAATGAGCCATCAAGCCATGAAAGACATGGAGGAAGCTTAGATGCATATTACCAACTGAAAGAAGCCAATCTGAGACGGCTACACACTGTTTGATTCCAACTACACGACATTCTGGAAAAGGCAAAACTATAGAGAATATGAAAAGATCAGTGGTTGTCAGGGGTTGGGGGTGGGAGGGGGAGGGAGAGGCATGAATAGGCTGAGCACACAGGGCTTTTAGGGCAGTGAAAGTACACTGTATGATATCATAGTGATGGGTATATGTTACTATCTTTTGTCCAAACCCATAGAATGTACAACACCATGAGTGAACCATAATACAAACTGTGTACTTTGCGTGATTATGATGCGTCAATGTAGGTTCCTCAAGTGTAACAAATGTACTGCTCTGGTGGGGGATGCTGATAATGGGGGAGGCTATGCATGTGTGGGGGCAGGGGACATACGGGAAATCTATGCACCTTCTCCTCAATTTGGTTGTGAACCTTAAACTGCTCAAAAAATAAAATCTTAATAATAACAAAGAAAAGAAAACAATCCTAGCTCTGCCTGCTATTTTGGATAAGTCATTTGACTTTTATAAGCCCCACTTTCTTTATGCATAGAATAGGTATGATGATAATTTCTACTTCCCACAGTCAGTGTGAGGAGTAAATAAGAGAGCATATGAGAAAGTGCTGGGCACAGTGGTCAAGAATTAGAGGACCAGCCCCAGTGGCCTAGTGGTTAAGTTCAGCATGCTCTGCTTTGGTGGCCTGGGTTTGGTTCCCAGGTGTGGGCCTATACCTCTCTGTTAGCAGCCACGCTTTGCTGGTGGCCCACATACTAAAAAATAGAGGAAGATTGGCACGAGCATCAGCTTAGGGTGAATGCTCCTCAACAACAACAACAACAACAAAAAAAAGCATTAGAACTTCACCATTTCCCTTAGAAGCAGAGAGCATATGAAATGTCTTCTTACGTTATTTTGTTGGCTTTTCCACTGGACTGAGTGATGAATGGTAAAAGGGCTGAAGTGCTTGTTGCTTTGTCCAAGGAGACCATGCCACGTTTCATGAAGAGAGCCAAGACGGCAGCAGGACACTACCAAGGGTTTGGTGCGCCATATTGTTTACCACATCTTGGTATTCAGATTCAGGGTCATCATGTCTGCAGAACACCCACCTCACCCCTTGGGCCCACCTCTCTCCTCAAGTTCTGCATTAACCAGCTGCCTAGGGTTGCAATCCATGAAGCTGCTTACCTCCCTGGCTCACACCAGAAAGGCAATCCTACAAGAGCACCCTAGGCCCCTGGGGAACCACTTACCCACATCGGCCCCGCTGAGTGCCTTCCCCAGTGGCCAGGGCCTCATGTCGATTCTCTTCCCATTAACAGTGAGTGACTGCACACAACCTTGAAAGCCTCGGTTTGTTCCTGTTGCTCTGACCAACCAGTAAGCACTGGGAGCTCCACCAAGATAAAGAGGCGTCCGGAAGGTAATTTTACTGTATTGGCCCTTTGAGAAAAGTGAAAACTTATTACTCACTAAACAAAATCAAAAGCCAAAATACATCAGATTTTAAGGAGGGAATGGTTAAGGTGTATTACAGCCCCTGAGGTTTCTTCCATCTGTATTTAAGACCTACTGGAAAATCAAACCCACGGTTACCGCAGGAAACGTAGTGAGCTTCTCAGAAGGCTGTGTTTCGAGAAGCGATGATTTTGTAATGCCTAGAAGGGAAGGGAAGGTAGGTCAGAGCCAAGAGCAACCCAACAGGCAGTGTACCATGCTGGGCATCCAAAAACAACTTTCTCTTTCCAGTCCGGACACCAATTTGCTGTGTACCTTGGATGGGTCACAGGGCTATTCTGTGTCTCAAAAGGTAATACTACTAATTTTGTGTACACGTGGGCTAACATTGACCCTTTCACTATCCTAGTCACCTTTAGACTATATCCTGCAAGAAACATTGTTGGGGGGAAATTGCAAAATAGATTGTGTTGCAAAATATTTTGAAATTTGCTCATGCATCCAACTTTTTTTTTTAAGTGTTACTACAGTTAGGTAGGGACGTTTCCAATCTTAGACCAAACCACAATCTGGATTGTAGGTTTTGAGGTTTCAAAATGCAGAGCTGAACATTAGGTGGGACAAAATTAAGGCACCCTTAGTCATTCTATTTTTTATTACAGAAATATCTCATTCATTTGAATTAAAAGGTACAGAAGGGGGCTGGGAAAGGCATCTGCTAGAACTTATAAAATGTCCGGAATGTGAGCCACTGAAATGTAATCTTTATCCTTTACACCTTCGTTACTAACAAGTAGAACATCTGATCATTGCTTTGTCTTTCCTAATAAATAGATATGAATGGTTTGTAAATAGTATATAGCTTATGAGCTAGGCAGCTTTAAAGTACCTACAGTGGATTTTAAGGATTAAATTGTTTGCCAGCCACTGGGCATACTGCCTTCATTTGATGAACTGAGTGCCCTGTGGCTCTCAATGATCCTCAGAGTTCAACCTTTCTGGATCCCATCTTCTCCCTCTGACCCTGTTCCTTGATCCAGGATCAGGGCAGGGCTCTGACAGCTAGTTCTTTTCTCCTTTTCTGGCTCATTCAGTGCATGGTAGGGGTGGGTGGTTCCTTTTAGGCTCCCTTCACAGCATCCCAGGCAATAGTCTTCAAGCCCACCCTTTACCTTCCTCTAATTAGGATTGCCTTTAGGATCTTGGACCCTGCTTTGCCTGCTTACCCTGAGATCTGGTAGTTTGCATTCCTCCGGCGCAGGCCTTAACAGTTTTTGGTGGGTGTGGAAGCGTGAAAGTCCAAGGCCCTTGCTTTGGGCTGGGATCACTCTGAGGGATAACTTCTCCTCCAGACCGCCCCACTGGGATCAGGCTGAAGCCGGACCCTGGAGAACTGTGCCTGGAATCTCTCTCTCGCTGATTTCCATTCCTCCCCTGTCCATCTTCTCCTCTCCTTGACACATTTCCTTCGGGAGCACTTTCTTAATCCATCACAGGCACAGGACTCCTCATCTCAGGTCTGTTTCTCAAGAACCCCAACTTAAGACAGAGTTGCTCTCTCCCAAGAGGGTTTATTAAACATTCCACATCTGCAGTCCTGCCTATACAATTTGCTTAGCAAGTCCTGGGGGTAGGGAGGCAAATGTTGCCCTGAGTATCTGTAAAATTATATTGCTTCTTGCAATGAATTCTTATATTCATAAAATCATAGGCTCTTAGGATTGGAAAAAAATATGAAAACTCATATAATCCAAGCTCCCATTGACAGCTGGATTCCTTGTACATCCCTACCAAAATGTCTTGGTAAGTCCCATGTTAAACACCTTCCCAAGGACAGGGCATCGGCTCCTGAGCTAGTCTGTTGCCCCTCCGCACAACTTCGTATGGTTAGGTGGGGCTAACATTGGCTCCTTGAGGCTCTCCCCATTGGGCTTCAGCCTTAGGGGTCCACAGAGTAAGTCCTTCTTCCTCAAGACTCTCCTTTTGACTCTATGACGACAAGCCACATCCACGCCTTCATCTTCTTTTCTGCAAACTCAAGAATGCCCATTCAATCAATCATTCCTGGGATTTCAAGTCATCTTCCTATCCCAGTGACTATAATTTGAACATGCTCTAGTTTCTTTTGTGGCCCTCGGAGTGTGATCACGGATATGAATGCAATCTTTTTAGAAGATTAGAGTCACCATTAGAGCACTGGAAGCTATACACATAGTCACCAGAATAGAATAGGGTCGTCATCTCCCTTTTTCTAGATGCTATGCCTCTATTAATGCAACCTATAATTTCTCTAGCTTGCTGTTACCGCACAGCCCTGTTTATTAACTTTTATTGAACTTCCTTGCTTTAAATCATAACACATTTTCACGTGTTGCTTCTATTATAGCTTTTCCATCCTTTCTTCATGTTATTATTTTGGATCCAAGTTCAAAGCTTCTTTATTCTTATCATACTTAATTTTAATCATATTGGCCTACTGCCCTGGCATTTGTGTGACTCTGTAGCTCATTCATCCCATCTTTTCCTTTCTTAGAAATATAGGCATAAGTGACATCCCTGGATTCACATGCGCTACATTCAAATCTTTGCTCATTTGGAACCACTGGGGTCCAGATTAATGGGGATCAGCGAGGCATGACCTTTTATACAATATGTCTTGCCAGCAAAGAACAGTGAAGAGCCAGGCAGAGAGAAATCTATCCACGTATACAAAAGGCTTTCTTGCGGCATTTTTCCTCAGAGACTACAGACACCTGCCTATTCATAATTACAGGCTTGGCTCCTTGGCAGCTTGCTAATCCAAACTATTTATTCCAAACACAATCCTAAAATTGCCCAGAGCATGACAAAGATGTGAATACTTAGGTGATTTGCTGAGTAGCCCAACGGCTACATTATTTTACCACTTCCTATAATCATGGCCCCCAAAAAAGGTCGATGGATGGATGATTCCTGCATACTGAACCAAGGGAATCTTTTGGGACAATTTTCTAAAGCCACAGGATTGCAACACCCCTGCCTTAAAAGCAAGCTTTGTGTCTGGCACTAATAAGGGCTTCTAGTCTTCCAATATGGGCCTTCCTCTACCTCTAGCTTTGATGTCCTTGTGGAAAGACAACATGTCCCTGGGCACAAGGCCTAATGGATGTCCCTGTGCACTGCACCCACAGCGATGACACTTGCCAATTCAATTCTTCTCCTCGGCAGATACGGGACGGACATGTGCCCTGACAGCCCACCTAGAGGGGAAGGCACCAGCAGGAGTACCCCAGAGCTCAGCAGCACCGGTTCACCATGAGAAATGGCCCATCTGGAGCCTGGATCCTGCCAAGTCTGCCTCAGCTGTCTGCAGTGGGACCCTCTCAGGATGCTTATGGTGGGTGCTAGGTGGGTGGGCAGAGAGAGAGGCTCGCGCTCACCTGCGACTGGCCTGTCACCGGGGTGCCATTGTTCAGCTGCAGCAGCCCGTTCAACCCATCTCTGTAGAGTGTAACCGTGTGCCAACCCCCTAGCTTGATTTTGGTCTCACTTATGATGACGGCAACCCCAGTTCCACAATTAAACCTGCAGAGGAGGAAAAGGAAAAGAAGATTCTTTGATCAACCAGTTCATTATGTTTTCAGACTCCCTGGACATCACTTCCAGCGTGACAGCGTCTTTGAGAGTCAGTCTGCTCAGAGTTATGTTTACGAATGTCAAGAGCTGTCTGAATCTATAAATGGAAAAACCAGATGCCTCCCCCCAGGACGATCTCAGTCTAGTGGTCCTTAATCTGCCCATGGAACTTTTAAATGTGGGGCCTTCTTTAACCTGACTTTCTCAGCAGCTTACAAAATAATGGGCAACTAAGATTCTCCTTCTCCTTTTCAGAGATTACCAGATGCTTAAAGTGGATTCGAGGTGCAGTGAATTAGAACTTGAGTCATTCTGTTTCCAGGGATTTCTCTGGGGACTTCCTCCAACTCCCAAACAGGCTCAGCAATATTAATAAAATGCAAAAATTCCCCAGTCTTCACACTCCTTTTGGCAAGCTGGCCAGCACTGCCACCTGTGCTCAGCTGTGCCCAAATGCAGGTGCAGTTTCCAGAGGAGGCTCTGGTGCAGGAGTGAGGTGTGGGTGGGGGGAGCATTCTCAGATGGTTGCATTATTCTTGTTTGTTTGTTTGTTTTCCCAACCTCCCTATGGCCCAGGGTGCCTCACCGTCACTATGCCTGGCATCTAGACTTTTGACCCTTTCCAGTCAAATTCCAAACAGCCACCATGCCACTTCCCCATGGGTCCTGAGACTGCCCATGCAGAAGGCCGCCATTGTCTTTATCGGGACCTGCACTGATTGCAGCCCATCTCTCATGGCCTCCCTTTGTCTCCTGACCCCAGTGGAGTGGAGTGGGGTCAAGAGGCATTGCAGGCCAGGTTCAGCCAGAGGGGGATATCAGAGTCACTCAAGAGGAGTTGCAGAGTTAGAGAACTGCCACCAGCCAATAACCGCCAGTGCGCCTGGGTGTCTATCAGATCCCCAAGAGGTTAGACCACAGCCCCAGATCCTCGTGGCTAAGCTCAAACCTCCATGAACCAAAGCACGTAGCAAAGGATGGGGGCCCATTTTACTCCAAGTGGGACGCTCAACAGTCTTCTCCAACTGAACCAAAAGTAATTTTGGGGCTGAAATAATTAAAAGACGTAATGGTTGACACCTATAGCATGCTTGCTATGGGTCAGGCCTGCTCTAAGCACTTTTGTGAATTAAGTCATTTCATCCTCATGATAGCCCTGGGAGGAAACGCAGGCTTGGAGAGATGAAGCCATTTGTTGAAGGTCAGGCAAGGGGAACGGTGCCACCAGGATCTTAACCAGTACACCTGGAGAAGGACAAGGCTGATCTCCACTGCTTATTCTCAAACAGGTGCCGTTTACACCTCCATGAGGGTAATTAAAACACTCACACCTCCACACAACTCTGCCTCCCAGAAAACCAAGCATAAACTAAAGGTGGCTTCCAACGTGTGTTGGGAGAGAAATGACCGTGGAAGAGAAGGTAAGCCAAACTGGTCACCACAGCCCTCAGGGAAGACGAGGATGGGGTTTGAGTGTCTAGGAACCCATAGGAGGTTGCACACTTCTCTCTGCTCCCATGGCTGTAAGCTGTCTTTACCACAGGGGGCAGGGGGAAGATCCCAGCCTTTTTCCCATCTCATCCACAAGAGCTCCAGGAGAGAGGGAACTCTACGGCTTTGGCTCGCTGCTGCCTTCCTGGGATCTACAGCAGTGCCCAGTACACTGTGGGTGCTCAAGAAGCATTTGCTATTAAAAGAATGAACAGTTACAAGGTTCCCAAACTCAAGTTTCAATGATTACCCTGCAATCCTGATACTCGGGTACATAGTAAAGTGGTCCATGCTCACCTGATACTACACACTGTTCCTTTATCTACAGGAATCCATCCTGTGTGTATTTTATTCAGATTATAAAAATGTAAATATAATGTAGGACACCATTAAAAACTCCGTGGCCTTTTGGTGGGAGTTACCTGAATTGGAGTGAGCGGCGGATGATGGCCAGGGACATGAAGTCGCCCCTCCCGTGTTCATTCTCCCCACAGTAGAGCAGTAAGCCATCCTCCGCCTCTGCCTGTTAGTATACAAACAAAAGCCACGTGAACAATGAGCAGCTCCTCTTCCACAAAGCGCCACCTGGAAATACCCATGAATATGAAACGTGAGCATTCTCCTCTGTGGTCTTATTTACAAAGGGACAAGCACATGGACTCTGATTAACTCCCAGGGACCTAGTCCCAGTTCATTTCCAATAAACAAATGGCAGCCATATAAACAGTGCGTGTGAGGAACGGCAGTGACGTAGGAGGAAGGCGGCCCCATAGTTGACCTGCTCTTTGCTTGGCTTTGTGGATCCCCAGCAGAGCCTTGGGAAAACCACGTGCAAGAAGACTGTGGTCACAGAGGGGCTGTTCTCGTGTTCATCAAATTCTGTTCTCACCAAAGGGCATTCCATTTTTTCCCTTTATTTTTTTTACTTCCCTCCCTCTGGGGAAGCATGCAAATTTGCTTCTTTCCTTCTATCAGGAGAACAGGATAGTAAAAACAGCCCAGCTGATAGACTAGTTTGGTTTTCACCCACGTTGGCTGACCTAGATTGGGACCACTCATCTTTGGGACACTCAAAACTGTGACCCTGACCTCAAAGGGGACTTGTTTCCACATCGCCAAGCCTTTTCATGTCGTCTGAGATACCCAAAAGAATCACTTTAAGCTGAAGTCACTGATGGGATTCTGATCTGCAGTTGATTGAGATGAGAGAGCATCTCCTGGGCTCTCACTATATGCCAGGGCCGTGTACAGCAGGGTTTCTCTTTGTTCAAGCACAGCCACAGCAATGAAGGCAGACACTTGGGTTGCCTTTAAAAGGGATTGTGACTGGAGAATGCTTTATGCCTTCTGAAGTCCTGGCCTGGGAAGAGTCATGATTATGAGCAACATAAGTGGGACCCAAACATTCCCACTGGGAACCTTCAGGCCAGCCACTTCCATAACACAGCAACATACAGAACCCACCCTCCCCTCACTGGTGTTTGTGACTGTGTGAAATGTGTCCATCATTGTTGCTGCCCTGGGCACGGGTTTGATGACAGGCTCTGTGTCATATTTACCCTTGATATCTACTTCCCTGCTTCCCCTCCCCTTCTCCTCCTCCCTTTTGACGTAGCAAGTTGATGCGTTAAGAGATCCAATAGGCACTCATCAAACAAGTAATCCTTCTTACCCTAAATTCCAGAGTAATTTGAAATGCCTGATAGGAGTTCTTCAGAGGTTCAAAGGTTACATAGGAGTGGCCAAAGAACTGAGGATACTGTATAGCAATATCTGAAAAGAGAAAAAGATAACATAAAAGAAGGCTTTTCCTCACTTCCTCAAATGCAAAAATCAGTATATACCTTTGCCTGGATGTCACTAAGTGAAAACATTTGAGAAGTTGTTAACCCTAGCTTACTATCTTCTTCTATCTACTTTTCACACCTACAATTCTCATTCTTGGGGACCTCAAGCTTCTGAAATTCTTAGGGAGAACCTGGACCTTTGGAGATTGTACTTGCTACCATAAAAAAACTAATGATTTTAAGACCACTGATACCTGCTTTCCAGCTGTACATTTGTGTCATATAAGTTGGCTCCATTATTATCCTTTTTAATATTCATGCACGTTTGCTTGCATTTTTCAGTAGAGATGTGGTCAAAGTAAAGCCCACCTCCACAAGGTGCCATCGGGATGATTTATTAATTGCTCCCAAAGTACTACACGTTCAGCCCACATAGAAATAGGGCTGCTATCTAACTAGAAGCAATGGAAGTTGCCTCACGTCTGCCTTGTATAGTGAATTTAATGACTAATACGTAGAAGAAGGGGCTTAGAAAAAGAGCTAGAAGGAAACACGTGTGGACCCCAAAACTTCCCTCTGGCTCCCAGTACAGCCAACCCACTACCATGTTCTCCCCCCACCAAGGACCTACCTTCTGAGCAGCTCTCACCACCTTTGCCCAGGTTGCAGTGGCATCGCGAGCCCCCCCAGGTGTAGTCATTGATGCAAAAGCTGTCAGCAGAGCAGAGAGTTTCATCACAAGACATGTCAAAAAGCCTTGGCATCATAACCACATCATTCTTCCCCTTCCTCTGCACTGGAGTGGGCTGGGGAGCCACCGTAGTTGGAGGGAGAGAGGCTGGGGTAGGGGGAACAAGCCTAGAAACGGTTTTTGGGTTGGATCTAGGCGCCGTCTTGGATTCCGCCAAAAATTTCTTATTCTCTCCTTTGATAGCAGGAAGTGGTTTAACCTAAAGTGAGAGAAGGGAAAGGGTTCAGGGTCAACACAGAGCACAGCAATTAGACTGCCTTATTCATGGTTGATGCCTAATACTTGAAAATACAGTCACTTTTGATACTTCCCCAAACCCTGGGATGTAGATGGGGGAGAGAGTACTGATCCTAGTTTATGGATAATGAACTTGAGGCCCAGGATTTTAAGTACCTTGCCCTGTATTACTCAAAAAATCAGTGGGAAGGCTGATATTACATGATTTATTATTACAATATCACAAAGATGCATTACCTTGTCAAGGAATTGCTCATTTCCTTATAATTTCTGACTTTGTAAAATTTCACTTGTTGGGAAATATATGTTTTTGCCAGATTGTGAAGTCAGCAGGCAGGGCTGACTATAGAACATCAGCAGGACTGGTACTTAGTTGCTACTAATTTATGATCACCTGGAGGCTAATAGTCGGAGGAAATAAATAAGTGTTAAAAGCAAATGGGCCAATTTAAGTAAGTTTTAAGTAAAATGTTCATGGTCCATTGGTTAAATTGCCTTGTTCAGCAAGAAAACAAAAACACTTGGGTTTTAAGAGAAGAGATTTTTGTTACCTCCTCAAAGGAAATATCCAAATCTATGTCGTCTTCAAATCCGTCGTCATCCTCACCAGCTCCCGTGTCGGTTATATAATGGGGTCCGTAGCGGCCACTTCCTGCTTCCTCGGGGCCTTCACAGAGAAAAGCAGCACACTGCTGTCAACACATACCTTCACTCCTTTTTCTGTCCTAATCCAGCCATATACAGACCTCTGCCAAATGGATCGGGATGTATTGGAAACGCACAAGGAATTCAACACTGAAGAGGAAGCATTAATGACCAAAAATATGAAAAATGCTTCATCTCATAAGTAATCAAAGAAAGGCCAATTAAAATCAGAAAGAGCTGCCATTTTATATTGACAAGACTGGCAAAAATGCAAAAGTCGGGCAATAAAAAATATTGCCAAGGATGGAATCCACGGAGACGCTTATATACTGATGTTAGATGTGTACAACCACTTTGCAGAACACTTGGAAGTATTTAATAAAGTAGAAAATGTTCATACCTTTTGACCCAACAGTCTCACCCCAACTTACAAAATCTGGAGAAACTCTCCCACATGTGTCCCAGGAGATATGTTCAAAATACAGTCATAGCATCAGAATTTGTAAGAGTAAAAAACACCCCAAATTAGCTATTTGTAATAGAAAGTAAAACTCCAAATATCTATCAACAGAAAATGGATAAGTCAATGATAGCATATCCATGGAATGGAGTACTATATAGTGGGAAAATGAATGAATGAGCATTTACTGCATCAGTATGGTTTAATCTCACAGGATTTCATGCAAGAAATGCAACTTGCAAAGGAACACAACCAGTTTAATGCCATTTATATAAAAGTCAACAGCAAGCAAAGAGTTATTATTTAGGGATCCATACATATGCAGTTTAAACTCTTAAGAAAAGTAAGACAATGACAAAAATACCTGGGGAGGTTAGAAGAGAGATGTGAATGAGGTGTAATACACAGGGCCTTCGAGATCCCTCTATAATATTCTATTTCTTGAGATAGCTGCTGGGTATATGTGAGTGTTCATATTTTATATGCTATCTATATACTTTCAATGTACGAAATATTTCATTAAAAGTTCTTGAAAACAAAAAAGAAACATAATAGAGGAAACACAGCCACACCCAGAAAAAAGGGGCCCTATGTGGTATCATGGGGGCCAACCATTTCCATCCATCTTAGCAGGACAATGGGCTCTTTCAGAACTGGCAGGTGGGCTGAGAAAAACTTATAGGGGACAACACAGGGCACAGTCCTTTGACGGATGGTCAGATTAGCATTCTTATTCAGTTGTCATTCACAAAATCTACTGATCCTCAACCATGTGACTTCGGCTCCACACAGGAAGCACTGCTCCAGGATGTGGGAGTCTTTTAAAGTGCTGCTCCATAGCGCCTCCTTGGGTGGCACATGTAGCAGCTGCCTCTCTAAATGGGGCACACCAGGTACCAGCCTTTAGGACAGGAATAACTCTGGCAAGAGAAACTGGCTTTTGCAGGTTGCTCATGCCCATTAGTTATTAGACATCCAGTGTCTGGATGACTAGTTAAAAAAGAAAGAAAGAAAAATGACACTAAAAACATTCAGAACAAACTAAGCCAAACACCTTTCTCACAAAAGCACACTCACCCTCCTCTAAGCAAAATAGCCTGCAGGCTGAAAACGGCGCTGAAAGAAATGACATGCAGGGAGTGTGGGAAGCCTTCTCAGCTGGCACGCTGCTGACTGGGAACCTCCCGCTGGACCAGGAAGAGAGAAATGTGGAGCAGGTGATGGGCAGACAGAGAAGGAGGTGTTCTCAGGTGTTCACGCACATGTTGGTGGAGGTGGGATAAGATGGAGAGGTGGTATTCTCACCACCTCCACACCAATTCCCCACAGGTTTATCTAAAATAGCCCACATGTCAGCTGAAAATTCGAGCCTGTCGATGCCAGATTTATACCTGGAAGCAAGTTATCTTAAGCCACCTGCATCCAGCCAGCACAGCTGTGTGCCAGATGTCTCCACACAAAAAGCCTGGAAGCCCTCGAAGACAGCTTCCCCCTCTCGCCTCTCTATATGTCTGTATCTTTCTGCCTCTCTCCTTGCCTCTCTCTCTTTCTCTGGGTCTCTTTTTTTCTCTCTGTCCCTTTCTCACTCTCCTTTTCTATCTCCGTCTCTCTCAGATATTCAGAATTGTTGAACTTCAGAAGAAAGAATCCATTTGGTAATAAAAGGATTATATATCACATACCTGAAGAGAGATGGGTTCTATCTTCAGTAGGTTGGTCTCTCTCTCTCCAGGGTGTTCTCCCTTGCCCTCTGCATATTCTTGCTGCTCTTGTATTATTCTCATCAATGTCAAGATTCTCTCTGTTTCATCTTATGATATCCTATCTGAAAAACACTTCCGAAGTTCCCCCACTGCCTACCAGATAAATGCTATACTCCTTGGTCAAGAACTCAAGGTTCTCAATAATAACAACTCCTCTTTTTCTTCCTTCTTTCCCCCATCACCATGATTTATTGAAACCTACTGCCTCTCTCCGACTTAGTTATCATTGGATGCTTCATGTGATACATTTCTAAACTTCACAATAATCCTGCAAGGTAAATGTGGCTCGTTTCATGTTGTAGATAAGTAAACTGAAGCTCAGGGAGGTGAAATGATTTGACTAAGATCAAAGACGTTGTAATTGATCAAGACTAACTCCAAGCTGTTCTCTCAGTTGCCTGCAAGAGAAGAAGCCACCATGGAGGGAAAAAGAGCATGGGATTTAGAAAATTAACATTTTCATTGAGCATATTTACCGCACCAGGAGATTTTCATACGTTGTTTCTACTAATCCTCACAAAATCCTGTGAAATTGGTATTATCACTCCCATTTTACCATGTGGAGATGTAAACTCAGAAGCATTCAATAACTTGCTCAAAGGGATGCAGATAGTAAACAGCAGAGCTAGATTTATCCTTGGTCTCTCTTTTGACTATATCAAGTCACATGTAATCTGACTCCAAATTGTGTTTTCAGCATCTTTTTTCCCTTTTCAAAAGCCATAGTAGCCGAACTGGTCTACCAGTTGTCTCCTGAATACATCTTGTGTTTTCTTATCCCAAGACTTTGCTTAACACTCTTCCCCATGTGGCCCTCCTCCGCCCTCTCTGCATTCTGTTTGAGACAGAGCTGAATGACTAAAGACTAAAATCAAGAGATATTTTAAAAAGAGACCATTAGACCCTTCTGGAGAAAAAATGACAACTCCAGAAAAGATGAAGCTGCCAAGATCTGTAGGACATTCCTCCATCTCCTTCTGGATGGGGCTAACCACCCATGGATATATGCCCCTAATCATGAGCTCAGAATAAGCATCCATAGCTTGATGAAATCAACAGATGTTCAAGATGGTATTTACACCTTCTAGAGTCCTGATCTGAGGATGCTGCTCTTGTGTTTCCCAACTCAACTGTGAACCCCCTGAGGGCAGGAAACATATTTTAGACTTATTTTTTTAAAGGCATTCTTTTGGTTTGTTTTTTGGCAAGGAAGATTGGCCCTGAGCTAACATCTGTTGCCAATCTTCCTCTTTTTTTTTTTTCTCCCCAAAGTCCTAGTACATAGTTGTATATCCTAGTTGTAAGTCATTCCAGTTCTTCTATGTGGGACGCCACCACAGCACGGCTTGATGAGGGTGTGTAGGTCTGCACCCAGGATCTGAACGGGTGAACCCCGGGCCACCAAAGCAGAGCACATGAACCCAACCACTTGGCCACAGGGCTAGTCCCTAGACTCTTGATAGCCCTTCCCATCCTCCATTTAACTGACACTTCACATACTCATCAAAGGCCAAGACCCCCAGCAGGCATAAGAGATACTCCTACAATGCTGCACTATCGTGGACTGTTGTCTCTGTCCTGTCCTGGCCCACCTGGCCATCCGTGTTTAAGCGGTGGAATATCTGGAGAGGAATCCTTACATGGTGAGACTTGGCCCCAAATCCAAAGACCTTCCCCCCAAACTGCCACCATTCTTGTCTTTTTCCCCAACTCACAACCAGAAGTTTACAGTTGAAAGAGACCTTGGACGCCATCCAGTCCAACCTCCTTATTTCATCAATGTGGAAACTGAAACCAGGTTTTAAGTCATGGAAGAGAAGAGACTTAAAACCAAGGTCATGCATCTCATTAGTAGAAGACCCATAACCAGAACCAGAACCAGATCATATGACCCCTAGTTCAATGCCCATAACACTCTATCATACAGATGTTTTGGCACCAAGTATCTAAGATACTTCAGCTGAACACAGAGAAGCCAGCGGTTTGGGGATGGGTAGCTGAGGTCTCTTCCTGCCTCTCAACCTACCCTAGGAAGTCGCTCTTGAAGGAAACTCCTTAGAAGAAAGGACCCTAAATGCATTGTTGCTGCTATGAAATGGCCCTGTGATGAGAACGGAAATGATTCCAGATTCTCTGCTCATTTTGACAAGTAAAATAAGGCATATGTTATTGAATGGATAGAATTCTTTGGTCTTTACAATAATTGCTTCCGTTTTGACACTGTATACAATATATCTCCTTGAAGCCAGAGGTTACTTCTTCGTTTGGGGAAATGAAGGGTGTGGGATAAGGATGGGGAAAGGAATATGAAATTACAAAGACTTAAAGACATTTTGATTTTTGTAGAAGGACCTTGGAGATCAGCTAGCACAACAAGTCCATTTTACAGAGGAGTACACCGAGGCTCAGAGAGTCCGTGGGACTCGCCTAGAGAGACAGCCCACTAGGGGCAGAGCTGATCCAGAATTCTGGACTCCCAGGGCTGTACTCCAGCACTCTTTGCAGCATCTGTCTGTCTCTCAATAACCCAGGCTAATAGTCATCTCTCATTTTTAACAGGAAGGAAATGAGCACAGAGAGGACCAGATGCAGCATAACTCAAATAAACCTGGAATATAGCTCCCTGCTTTTGCTTCCTGACAGCCACACCACCTGAGATCTCAAATCCAAGGCTTACATCAAGTTTTTACCAGTGCCGTTTCTAAGTGAGCACAGAATGTGCAGTCTAAGCCAGTAATAAGAATTCTCCCTGTAGCCTGGGGTTATTGTAATTAAAGTGCATAACTTATGTCTTTCTAC